CCGCACCCGCTCGGACCCCACGGGCTCCCGGAGCTCCAACGACCTGGCGACGCTGGTGGCCACCGCACGGTCCACGGGCACCGAAGAGCGAGCCTTGGAAGCAAGGAATGTGAGGTGAGAGGAGAAAAGAAGTGTGAGGTGTGAGGTGTGAGAAGGAGCCCCTATTAGCTTCTTGTTACTAGTAGTAAGAATGCTCCTAGTAGCGATGCCAGGAGCCCCTAATGGCGTCCTCCCCTAGAGGTGAGGAGAAGTGTGAGGTGTGAGGTGTGAGAAGTGGTGTGAGATTTGTTTTTGATCTTTTTGTGGAAGCTGTGGAGGGAGAATGTCGGGAAGGTGGAGCAATGTGATCAAAGCATAAATGTTGCATTTCTTTGTTTATCGACCTTTAAACCCCACAAAAAGATTATCATGGTTTTAGATTCTTTGCAAAGTCTGTTCTTCCTTACTGGGGCGAATATTGGACAACCCAACAGCAATTGGCAAAGGGTCTCGTGGTTGAAATGTTTGATGATTTGCCCAGTACATTGCATTTAGGATTGTATATACAAAGAAAAGTAAATCACCCAAATCTGTGTCATTTGTGAAAGGACAGAGACAGTCGTGTATTTGTTCATCTGGCGACGATTGTCCTGTAAACCACTAGACTTTGGACGTTGGGCCAGATGCGTTTCCATGTACCAGGGGGGCTGTTTGGTCTCTTCCGTTTCGATGCGGGATGGACGTGGGAATCTTGAAAGGTGTCATTACGTCTACGGACTAATAATAGCGATGCACCTTGCTACTAGTGGCAATGCACCTTGTTACTACGTCGCTTCTTGTTAAGCTTCTTGCTACGATCAAAAGGCCATGGCCGCCATGGCCGTTAAGATCCGTTGCAACCGGACCGGACCGTTCACTCCAAGGTGTTCCACCGGAGCTGCAGGTGTGCGCGCCCGCGGAGCTTCCGGGTTTGAAGGGATCGGTGGGAGAGGAGTGGAGTGGAACGACCACGGAGTGGAACGTATTGGGAAGCACCGGGTGTGTTTTGATGTGTTGTGGGTCAACCAGTTCAGTAGTGAATGTGAAGGGATCCATCAGAACAATCGGAAGAACCAAAAAACAGCTATTAGAAACAAGAAGCTACTAGGAACAAGTGCATCGCTTCTAGTAACAAGTGCCTTACTAGTAGTAACAATGTTTGCTATTAGAAACAATAATTCAAAAGATGCAGTCGGTGTGGCTGCCTAACGTGAACGGCTTGAACGTCCTGACGGTTGTTCCTCGAAAGGACTCACTTGGCTGAAACCTGGGGTCACTGGGCATCAGGTGTTTGCGCGTGTTTTGGGATCCATATCGATGTTCTAGCACCCAAATTTGTCAGAGTTCCAAACGTTCACAGCTCACAATGAGTACAAGAAACGGTGAAAACAGCTCACAATAGGCCATCGGCCTAGCATCTATTTTGAACATATGTCCTATAGTGTCCCATCTTCCTCAAACCACACCTTTCAGCCCAGGTTTTCCTCTTTGAGTCGGAGACAGCGCCTGGACTCGCTCCTGCCGCGGCTCCCGCCAGTGGAACGCCTCGAGCTCTTCGGTCGAATCCACGTACCAAACGCTTTTGAAAGCTGGGTGAGGACCGAGAAAGCCTCACCCTTCCATTTCATACATGCATATATACATTCCCGCAAACCCTACATATGTTTCCCAAAGCAGATGAAACATCAAGTGATAAAACTACAAAGGCTTCAGATATAAAGAGTTCCTGGTCTTTAGAACCTTCATTGACACTGCAAGGACCCCTGAAAGCGACACACCGCATGTTCTACCTCGCCCGCCAACCCCGCTTGAGCCGCATTGTTCCACGTGAGGCTGTTGAATCGTCAATTTCTAGAAGAGGAACGCTCCGCGGGGAACTTCCAGTTCGTCGCATGGATATCCTCCAAGCCGCACGGCAGCAGTGGCAGCAACGTGCAATGTGTTGGTAGCCGGCGGCACCGCGAGGCATGAAAGATATTGTTATTACGAGAAAGGGAGATGGATTGCAGCAAATACTTTGTTCCCAAACGGAAGATCCCAACAGTGTTGATGCCTGTTGCGAATCCTTTTCGTCTTGTTCGTTCGTACATAAGTGTGTTGTTTCACCAGTCTGGTCCAAAAGCATGGTCATGTCATGTGCTCAGGAAAGGTCTCCTCATTCAGCTCGCATGTGTTGTGGATGCTTGGAGCAGAGCGAGCGGAGCGGGGCGACGTCAGCTGGGCGACGTCGGAAGAGGTAGGGAAGAACGAGACATAGCCACTATAGCAGTACCAAGGATACTCTCTTACGTGGTGCATTCCGGACCTCAGCCTGACCTCAGCCATTCTTCATCGTGGGGCTCTTGTATCAACAGTAAGGCTTCAAGAAGCTTTATAGATATCACTGGCTAATGATCTTTGGAGGGTCGTCAGGTAGAAGTTCGACCGGTGAGAAGACTGGAAAGCAGACGACGAGATAGATCGAAGGGGATAATTGTTGTTGCCATAAAGAAAGGTTGGGTGTGTTGGTGAACTGGACCTTGGCCTAAAACTTCACCCATGTCCACTGAGGTTGCCCAGTGAACGATTTCCATCCGAAAACCTTCGCAATTAGTCGTTCGGATTTCTTGCTGTGCCGGCTAGGTTAGATGCCCAAGCTGTTTTGATGGATTTTCGAGAAGCTGTTCTGCTCCGGCTGAGGTCTTTGTCTTCTTCGACTCCGCGAGGACCATCGCGACGCTTGGAGCAGGTTTGATCAGCTGAGTTCTCGCCGGAAGGGGAGCCCCCATTGGGAATGGCGGTAGATATGTTCTCGGTTCAGCGGTCAGCCTCCGGTGATTTCGAGGTCAAATATGGTCCATCAAAGAAACAATTACCAGGAGTTTGGGTCCACACTCCAACCAAAGTCAATGAATCAAGATTTCCGACCGACATGGCGATCTTCCAAACAAGCCAATCCAACTTCCTCTCTAGGCCTTCAGCGATGCCCGTTCTAAACGCACTCCACGGATGACGCAATCCAACTCCACTCCGAACTCCTTGAAACCGGGCACCTCCGGGATCGCCACGCCACGTCAGGAACGACCAATACATCAGTGGACGGCCCATCGTCTCTCAGTCCATCACCTTCGCGCAGTTCGGCGCCTCCATCGTGGCTGCCCAGACGAGACGACCGGCTGGCTCGTCGCTGTCGTCGTCGCTGGGGGGGGGTCTTGTGGGAGGAGTGGGAGGGGTTCGTATAGACGGATGGGTCGGACTTGAACTCAGAGATTGAAGTTTAGGAGTGCATGAGTGAGATATAATTAGAGGAGGAGGAGGAGGAGGTCAAGATTTGTCACCTATTGTCTCCCACACCCTGGAGAGTGACGCTCACACAAGATAAAGGCTGTAATTTTGCGAGGACATGAGGCGCGGGGGAGTTTCACGGACCGTGTCACGTCGTAGTTTCTTTCCGAACCGGCAGTAAGCAGATGTTCATAGCAACACTTGCAAAATATGTGTTTCTTTCTGAAACACCAGTGGGGTGATTCGAATCCAACCCTAAGAGATCCCAAACGAACTCCACGTAGCGCTTCGGCGCTGTTGGTGCGGCGCTGGCCGACGCTCAGGTTGGCGTGGTGCTGTCGGCAGCCGTGGAAGGGGTGGACGGGCTGAAAGCGGCCTTGTCCTGGAAGGTGGGCCCGGCCTTGGGCGTTTTTCGAAGTGGGGACCGGGAATTGATGTCTAAAAATGTCTCAAAAAAGAGGTTCTGGTTGCTGTTAAGTGGAGTTGCGGTGACTGAAAATCAATCACACACCTGGCGGATGCACGGGGATGCTTTCTGGATTTCTTGTTGAATTAATGTAATGTTCTTGATTGTTCATAATATATCTAGAATTTTGAGAGCATAATTCTTCAAAGGTCCATGCCAAAATTTCCGCACAAAGCCCACCCAAGCGTTCCCCTTCGATCGAAAACCGTCTTTGCACCCCGCGACGGTCAGCCTGTCGCTGCGCAGAGCAAGTGACCCGGAAAACGCGGAAAACGACAGATGTGGTACGCAGCATCGGTCCGGAGGAGATCTTGCGGTGTTTCCCTGTGGCCACCTGCTTCTCCTTGAGTCAGACCTTTACGATCATGGCCTACAGCATTGGAGCTCCTTGTTGACAAAAGCGTCGAAGAGTGGAAGACGCTGGAAGAACTTGGGGTACACGGAAGGAAGGAAGGTGGCGGACGTTTGGGATACCGAAAAGAAGCGGAAAGAACTTGGGAGCATATTTTTGCGGCCAGGTGGGATGAGACTCTCTTGGTCCTACACAGAACTACAGGGCGTTAAGTTGAACTCCATTAAGAGCCTATGGAGTAGCCTCTGGCCATTGGACGACCGTGTGTTGAATTTGGGGTGATCGGACGATAGAAACGGACATGTGAAGCTCACGGAAAGCACCGGTGTCTTTTGCTCCAGAGAATGGACGTCAGAGCTTTCTCGGCCATGTTTCTGACTTGGCAACTGGTTCAACTGGTTCGCAGACTGCTCCGCCGTTACGTAGATCGCCATATCCCCAGGTGAGTGGCATGGAAAACACCGCCCCTTTGCTGCAGCAGAGCCATGGAGGGATGCCACTCCCAACTTGCTACAAAAGAAGTCAAAGAGAGAGAGAGAGAGAGAGCTTGGCAGATGTAGCCGTCCAACTTCCAGCGACGAAAGCACACCTTTTTTGGGGCTGTCGCATGCTTGACCGCTGTCGACGAAAAACAAACTGCTTGACCGCTTGGGAAATGTCTTTGATGTGGAACTTGTGGCCCCATGATCGCTAGAGTGGCTGGTGCTTGTTTTCTCTATCTATACTATCCTGACACTATACGTCTCCCCCAACAAGAAAGACATGCAGATATCAAAAAGCAACAAAAAACCGACACCGCGGCCACGGCGTCTTGTCATCTCTCCCTTTCGTTTTGTTCCGCCGGACGGCGGAGCTGGCTGACCACAGCGGTCTTAGTCTTAGGTGGTGGGGAACGTCTACATGCCCTTGAGCGCCTTGTTGAGTCGCTGGATCTTCCGGCGCTCCTATAGCTTTCTGGAGTGGATCGCCCTCACGGCCCCTCGGAGAAAAAAAAGAAAGCGACACAGCAAAACGCTCCCAGGACGAAGAGGCCGAAGAGGAAAGAGACAACAATGGCACAAAAACGTGTGGTTTCAAGACATGGCATATGGTTGGAATAGTTTTTTTCTGCCTCTTGTTGACACTTGTGCTTGATAATTTGCAAAGCTTTGAGCCCGGTGTGGGCTTCATCAGGCCTGTTGAAATTTGGGGTCGACTTCGTTCAGCAACCGCCGGACGTGTCACGCTCAAGGGGGGGTGCAGAAAACACCCTTTCTTCGCAGATCGACTAGACCAGGTCTTGATGCTGAGCGCCAGCGCCTTTGTACTCCTGCAGAACTCGGCATCAGGCAAAGAGAAGTCTTACTTTGGAACTGTTGCAGCATTCTTTGTGGGGTGGGAACATCAATGAAGTGAGTTGGGATGGTTGGCTGGTCAACTGTGCTTATGTGGCCGCTAGTGTGGCCGCTGTAGTAGCTACGACTCAACTCAAGAAAGGATATGGAAACGACCCCCACTTGGGGTAGCACCATTTGGGGGAGCACCATATAACACCAAAATTTGCCAAGTTAATTAAGGGAGTTGTATTCGTTTGGTGGAGACAGAGACAACCGGACATTTTATGAAGCACGTCATTAGTGGCTGGCGGACTTGCAAAGGTGAAGCATTTCGGTGTTCTGAGGTTGTCGGGTTGACAGAGAACCTCCGCTTCATACCCTTCATATGATATGTCCTGATGAAACAATGCAACGACAAGTAGTGGTGAAGCATTCAAAGACTTCTGTTGTTGGTTGTGGAGACAAGGGTAGGACTCGGACTCGGTAGAACATTGGAATCTCCAATTTCAACATGCAAGTTGGCCAGCTCTTTTGTCATTGATCTATAACCCCCGAGATGCCTCGAGACGCAGATTCAGATTGAGGTTCACAAATTGCCTCCCCATTGGAGGCCATCGCTACTGGTAGCAAGAAGCTACTAGTAACAAGTGAGTCATGCTTAAGCATATGCTTCCTCTTGCCGTGTTTGAGACTCACAAATTCTGTGAATCCTGCAGTGCCGATCGAAGCTCGACGCAGGGAGCCAGACGGAGAGCATTTTTAATACCGGAATCAGATGCTTGGATGAGTTAGTTCGTGTTAGTTCGTGTGTTGAATTGGCACGAGGAAATGAAGAATAACTCTCCACATGTTCAAAGTATATATATATAGGATGACCCATTTGGAGAGGAAACGATGAAGAATATCGTTTTCCAAGTGAAGCCATCCTGGAGTAGATAGATATAGGCACAATAGAGTATACACGGATATCGTGACATCTTGAGACCTGTTCTTCTGCTTGCGTCTTGGATATTCCATTTGGTGCCCGAATCCGAAGAATCCACTGAACGTGATCCTTTCGTTCAGCCCTCCTGCCTACTTGTGCGCTCCGGTCCTCACAGGCTACGTCCTGCTCTCCGTGGTGATGTCCTGTTTGGCCTCCATGCTCTCCGAGAAGATCATGAAGGCACCAAGCACATGTCATTACTTGTCCTTTCTTTCTTTGAGCGAAATCGGAAGTGGAGTGGAGAAGTGAGAGATGGACCCGTTTCGCCAACTCTGCAGCTGTGCAGATTGTTTCCAACTCTTCGGCCCGTCAGTCTCTGGCATTTTTCATACCTTATCACGAATGTCTTACTTGCAGTTTTGCTTCATGCGCAAGTGTGCATCCGATGTGTCCTGGATTTTTGGGCTCCCTGAACCATGTTCAATGTTCAATGCGTCGGCACGCCGGCCAACAAGGGTTTTGATACGAAGATTAAACAATCCCAATGGTGCACGAGACGAGTACCAGAAAGTTGCTTTCGCTGGCTGTTTTTCTTCCAGGCCGGCAACAGCCACTTCTACATTCAGAAGGTAAATCTGGATGTGGGAAGCTTTTTCACATCGGCCGCAACCTTAGAGCGTGATAATGTCTCCCAGATGAGAGAGACCTACACTCAGTCTTTTGGAGGACGGCCTGAGGATAGCTGCAAAAGAATACTTTATTCCAAGTGAACTGTTTGACAAATTAGATCAAATTGTTTATTTCCTTGACTACATGTCTGTTAAGCTGATCTTGGGCTGCCCACAGCACCTTGTGCAAACAGGAATGCTGAGTCCGTTCCTTCCACTCAAACCGGTCCGATGCAAGCAATGTGATATCAAGAGCTGTGCATCATCGGCATCATGTGCACTTATAGAGCTGAGTATGTCCAACTTGTAATGTGCAGATATGTGTGCAGAAAGCGCTGCAGCACCATCCGCATAGACACTTGCTTGCCCCAGTCACACCAATGAAAACAAAGTTCTTTAACCAGTGGCGAGTTTGCAGTCTTGGAGGTACTGCTCCCTTGTTAAGACTCTTCCACTTCTCCCTTCCAAAGACCAGTCGGACCAGAGTTGGTGCGCCACGCGGCTCGCGGTCACCGCGCCACACGGACTGAGATCATCATGCTTTGGGTCTGCGGTGCAACCAGCAAGCGCGACCAAGACGCCTTCTGGAAGCAACGCCCTGTGGATGGCAGGCGTGGAAGGAAGCGGAATTGTCTCGGAGCAAAGCCCTCGAACCTCGGATCGGTTTGGGGGACGAGCGATCCCCATTTCGTGGCGTTTTCCAGCCAGGTTTCGGGGGGTAGACCAAAGCCATGCACCCTCAAAGCGAGGCAGCGAGTCCCGAGAAATGGTGAAAGAAGATTCCCCAAAGGATTTCTATGTTCTCCTTTTATCTTGTTACTAGTAGCTTCTTGTTACTAGTAGTAATGCCCAGTAGTGATGCACTTGCTACTATAGTAGTTCTGAACATCAGTACCCCCGAAACGAACACAACCACGTAAACTGAGGTACGTAAGACTTCCAGAATTTTCACTGCAGATTTTCCGCCTCATAATAGATAGATGTTACATGATGTTACTGTACAATGTGTTTTCATGCAGACTTCCAAGCCGCTTTGTTGGTTCTCTGATTTTCCACCGGCCAGGATGGAGTCTGGAATTTTTGTGGCCTGGAATTGGCAGATGATTATTGTGCTGGTGGTGACGCTGTTGCAGAACTGGCTGGCAGGAGACTGTCTGGCAGAGTTTGCAAGCGGACCACAAGTCGACGACTTGGGCTTGAAATGGCGAAAAGCAACAAACTCACCAAAAAAGCAACTATTGTTACTAGTTCTCTTTGGAGTTGTCTCCTCCAAACTAGGAAAGACATCAATATCAATCCTGTGGATCGAAAGGGTTTGGGAGGTCCAACTTAACGAACCCGTTCATTTGTTTTTGCCTTCGAGGCAAGGTCTTCCATGAGTTGTTTCAGCAGCCCAGCGAAAGGGCCTGCAGAATTTCTGGAGCCTCATGTAGAAGTATAGAGCTTCTTGTTACTACTAGTAAGGCACCTGTTACTACTAGCGTGGCACCTGAGATATGAAAGTTTCACCATCTCTCACCAACGACTTTCTCTCTTGGACCATAGCGATTCGCCCTTTCAAGTCTTTCGCCAGGATTCGTCGCAAAGCGCTTGTCCACGGTGATCCGATCGAGCGCCCAACAGCTCTCGCTGCTGATCGTCGCTCGCGCTCGATGGGGTGAGTTGGCGACACAGTTCCACGTATAAACCATGTGCTATGCTCAAAGGAGGGGACCATGCAAAGCATATTGCAGAGCAATGGGAAATTGATAGATCGTCACGGTTCGTTAACCAATATTTGGGGATGGGGGATACCAAACAAAACAAGACCGTTTGCTGATTGGAAGGTTAAAAAGAAACCAAAACTGCCGAGTGTCTCGCACTCACGCAGCGCTGCTTCTACACTCAAGTGTCCTCAACACCCACCCCAAACAACCCACGGCCAAACCTAGCTACCCGTCTTTCTGAGCTCCCGCTGAGACCGTTCACGGCTAAGGTCTACTTCGTCGGGGATCTCTTGCTGAACCAAAAGCCCTTTGATTGGCCGGTCGGCACGACGGCCTTGGCCCTTCGGACGGGACGCGGCGCAGTTCCGGCGTGTGGTTTTGCAACGCGATGTGTGTGGTGTGTGGCGGGGCAAGACCTGGGTGGGCGATGCGTGGTGGTGCAGCTGACCTGAGGCACTGAAAGTACTGTCACTTTGTTTCCTCCAGGAAGCAGTTTTGTGATGTTTTGTGTCAGTGTCACTTTTGTTCAGAAGCAGGAAGATCGGCCCCTTTTCTTGTTCGTGAACGCACGCGAGCTCGCCTCTCCAATGTGCAGCTTCGGCGGCGAGGTGATCGCGCTCTCAGTGCAGGTCTTTGTCTTCGCAGGTCAAGCTGTCAAGGAGTGTGTGTGTGTGTGTGACTGTTTCTTCGGATTGATTGTAGTTACCCAGAGTTGTTATTGAATGAAGATTTCAAGAAAAGCCATCGCGTCTACATATATATATATATACCTGGATCCTCCTTTGGGCGGAAAAAAGTGCCGGACCTGAGTCCGGCAAAACTTACCGCCGGATTCCGAAAAAAGCGCCGGAGACCTGAAAAAACATCCGGATCCAAGATTCTGAAAAACAGAGATGATAAAAGGTTGGATCATACACAAGGAAATTGCCTTTGCGCCGCGAGTAATTCTTCTGGAGCACACTCGAACATTCCCGTTCCCATTGCCCTCGCCCATCTTCCGAATGGCCTAAGAGCAGAACCATCACAAAATATAAGCAACTTGTGCCCAAGCAAAGACTTCCAAGAAGAAACCAAGGAACATGTGGCAATGAACTCATCTTTCTCTGCAACCGTGTCTCTAAAGTGTTTTTTTACAAAGTGGGTTGCTCTCCATGATTCTTATGCTTCTTAATGTTTCTTTAAAGCTTGCCTCAGGACGGCCCCCCAATAAAGTAGCAGAACTCGTGGCTCCCGTCAAAACTCTTCTTTGAAAAACTGTTCAAAGTCAAAGCCAAAGCCTGCAGAAGACTCAGTCCAAAAAAATACGTCGGAGTTACGGGAAATTACGCCGGAGTTACGGGAAATTACGCCGGAATTACGGGAAATTACGCCGGAGTTACGACGTGCCATTTTTTGACAACTCTCTGCAAAACACGGAGATTCTGAACAACACAAATGAGAAAACAGCGGAACAGGCAAACGAGCACACTTTGCAAACAAAATCATTGCATCAGTAGTGGGTTTACCTTCAAAGAAATGCAGCCCACAAAGAATGCAAAGCCTTGAGAATCCACATAAAGTGACTTGGAAAAAGTGCCGGACCAAATCCAGAAAAACGCCGGAGTTGGAAGTCCGGCGCCGGACCCTGTAAAAGTGCCGGACTGAAGATCTAGGTATATATAGCTCTGTTTTACAGCGAGCATGTCTGGCTAGGAGAATATGCTTTTCCCCCTTTGGGTGACAGGCAAATGAGCAAGCACCAGTCGGTTGTTTCAAGGCGTTCTTGTTTTGTTTCATGCATGTAATACTGTATATAAATAGCAGTCCTTTCTTTGAGGGTTTGATTGAAGTGGTCCAGAGTCGATTGGTGCCGGCCCTTTGCATGCTCAGACTGGTTTCTTGACTGTTCCCTTAAGTGAACTAGTCTCTTTTGTTTGTTGATGTGTTTTCTTTCCGAGAGGCTTACACTTGGACAGATCATTCTAATTGACTCTATTAAAGAGTTCAACTCGCTTGACGATTACTAAGACAATGAAATGGAACAATCACGTTTGCATCCAGATCTTCATGGCCTGCCATTAGGAGCAAGCTGCACGGACTGGCTCCTCGGCAGTGAATGGGTGAGGCTGCAGCTGCAGAGGACTTGCTGAACACACATCTATCACCAGGTGTGTGGTGGTTTGTGAAACGATTTGCACGTTTTATCCGGTTTGCCCCTTGCAACCAACCGACCCGCAAACCGACCCATCAACCGCGCCCTTGTCGGCGATGCTGCGTTCCACCCAGGATCGTCGGGCTGTTGAGAAGCCCAAGCGAAGAGCACTGGCCCAGGTCGAGTGGAATTCACTCGCCACACGCGTCGACGCATGAGACGCAACCAGTAACCGCCAGTAACCAGCTACCTGTGGGTCCATGAAAGGGAGAAAATCGTTATGTCAAGATATGTTAAGGAGGTCAGTCCAATTGTTTTTGAGATAGAGATAGCTACGTAGGTTTTAGATAGCTGAAGGCAACAAGTCATCAGCGGGGAGCGGTTTTGCATGGTGTATCATTTCCCCTGTGGACAAAGGATGGTAAAGGTCTTGAAGTTGAAAGCTCCTAGTAGCGTCCTTTGCTCCTAGTACGGCCAGGAGCCCCGTTCGTAGCGATGTCAAACCCGATTCGACTGCGAAGCACGCGATGTCACCCCTCGACCTCCCAGTCACCCCGATGCGGTGCGACGGCGACGCCGACGCTCCAATCTCACCCCTTCGGGCACCGCTCTCGCGCCTGGCGAAAGTGGCGGCCCCACCGTTGGAGCCGGACGGGGTGGCTGACACGAACAAGTGCATCGCTGCTAGTAACAACTGGCATCGCTACTAGGAGCAAGGACGCTACATGTAGATACTAGTAACAATAGGGTGGAAGACACCAGTTCCACTGAAAGCAGGCTCTCACTCTTGGGTTGGAGTCGCTATTAGGTTGCAGGCCATTGCTTACTTTCCACCTTTTGACCAAAGCACTTTTAAATAGACACCGTAGGCTCCAACGGATTAGTGCAGCAGAAGGCAAAGCAACGCACAGGATTCCGACGCTTCTCGCCGTCAAAGTAAAAAGCAAGTGCGGAGGTGTTGCAAAGGCGATTGAGCTTACATGATCAAGATAGAGAGGAGGGGTCACTAGGTGCTGAGAATCTGAGTGTTGGTGCGCAGTGAGCTTACTTCGTGGCCATTGATGTTGAGTGTGCAATTTGTTGGAAAGACATGTCACCGCTCCACCCTGGTGTTTTCGCAAAAACAATATTGCTCCCATCGCGTCTTGCTGAGGTACTTCTGCCAGGGTGGTGTGAAGACCCGTTTGGCGCGGCTGGGCTTCGAGCCGCTTAGAGAAAAACAGAGGATGACCTCAGCAGAATCGCCTTCTGTATTGAAAACCCATCCAGAAAAGCCTTGAAAATACCAATGGGCTACCTGTGCACCACCCGTGCGCATTCGCAACTGGCAAGTCCCAGGCATGTGCACAACGAGAATGAGGACTTCTACCAAATCTGCAAGCAGAGAGGTTTGGTACCCAGAGCGTCACGTGTCACCGGTGTGACATACTAGAGAGTCGCTACTAGAGTACTAGAGAGCTGGCGAGGCCATCTGTCGGGCCTTTGGGACCTTTGGGTTTGCGAGGGCTTCATAGTAGCTATTTGCCTCCAGTAGCTTCTTGTTACTGCAGGTGAAACGATTCCCAAAGGGAGCTTTTCCAGCTACTAGTAGCCATTTGCTCCTAGTAGCGATGGCCTCCAACCTACTTGCCATGACCTCCACCTAATAGCGTCCTTGTTCCTAGTAGCGGGTTGTTACCCGATGTCCACACTGAATTTACATTGTTTTACTGCAGCAGTTACTTCCATGTAGGGTGTAGCCATGTGTAGCCCATTACCAGCAACAGTGGGCAAAAGGTTATCACATGTTATCACACATTAAAATTAGCACTATGTCTTTCAGAAAGTTCAGCACATTACCCCTCATCCACTGAGCCCTGGCAATGGGATATGATATACCCCACTGAGTCGCCGTTCGGCGCCCCGAAGAAGAATGGCGGCGCCTTCTCCGCTGAGTCCCCAGCTTCGATGTGCTGGTCACGAATCCGCCCTTCTCGGCGGATGAGACGAGCTGACCTGCTTGGAGATGGGAGTTCGAGAGTGTCAAAGGGGGTCCTGGTGCGGTACATTGGTGGCAGTCAAAGCGCCTTCAGCAGCTGTTCCATTTCGGCTGCTTTCGGATATGATATCCAAAAATAAAAAAATAATGATGAAAGGTTAGAGCAATTGGCTGGTTCATTGCCACTGACTGCAACACACAGATGGCAGCTAGCAGCTCGCTGTCCAATTCAACCACACCTGGTGAAAATGTCATAAGCTGCATGGACTAGCTGCTGGGCCTACTGTAGCCGATCCTGTGAATCATTTTAGGATGCTTGCATGCAATGACCCGCAAGAAAATCTGAAAGCGAACAAGAAGAACTGTCTTCAGCCAACATGTCTATTGATCTTTGCACGATCCACGAAGACTACTCCAACACTCGGCTTGAATGCTTGAGGCACGAAAGGTTGTACGTAGGCCTCCGCTGAGGATGGAACCTTGAGGTGTCGTACCCTTTGTGTCCACCCCGGAGCCAGGCACTTCAGCTTCGTCCTGGACTTTGCCCTTCAGAGTGGGAAGCCTTGGATGATGGCACCTTGGACGTCCTGGTGGATTAAGTGGAAGCTCTGAGACGGGTCTTTCGAGTCAATGAGGTCTTGCAAGTACATCTTCATCAAGAGTTCACCTTCATTCCGGGTTTTGCAAAATTTGTTTGTGAACTTCTCGGAAAAACTCGGTACCTATACAAAGCAACGCCATAAGCGGTACGCCTTAGACGGTGCTGGGAAGAGAATCACCTTCCTATTTACTCCAAACAAGATGGGTGCTGGTATGTGCTGGTCTGATTTCCGTGGTCCTTGGCTCACGCCAAATGTCAGAGTGTCCTCGCCTGAGATTCTGCCGGTGCATCTCATCTTCCGAAACACCTTCGTCCACGCAACGCAGCAGTTGCAATGGAGGCGGATGTTGCTGTGACTTGAAAAAAGTCGAATCCTTGCTTTGCTGTGGCTGAATATCACGAAGAACTGCCAATAGCAAGAGAGAGGCAGGTGTTTTTCTTGTGTGTGAGAGCAACTGGCCTGACACAGAGTGCCCTTTTGGGATTTGGCGCCTTGCTGTCATGTAGCGCAGGCCCTTCTTTTTGGCTCCTCAGAAGAAGTGCCCTGGGCGATAGCGGCCAAACCCTTGGTTGGTTGAGCGTGTTTGCTTCTTCCCATGTGGAATCTATCAGAATCTTCATGAACATGAATTCATTCGACTATTTGTAAACAGCCCCAAGATCCTGCAGATTTCATTTTTGTTCCGGAATTCCTGCGCGAAAGCCATCCGAACCAAATGAAAGACGTGCGAAGCAGCGTGCTGGGAAACCGAAACTTCGAGAGGTACAACTTCAAGACGCCCGCGCCCTTGCCACCGCCGCCCACGGAGTTTCGACCCAAGGTGGGCGGCAGCGCTCGGCACTGGGTTTGGGCGCAAGCCATGTTGAGAAGGGATGGAAGGCCAATGAAGACCATTCCTTTTAAGGGGACGGAGAAGACAAAATCCTGAGTACCCAGCATGCATGTTTTACCGACTGTCTTGACCTGAAGCAACACCTAATCATGGGAAGGAAGGAGTGTCAACCTCAGATTCCGAAGGCGCAAGTCGTGTTCAAATGAATTCGGCCATTCGTCCAGCAGCCAGGCGCGCAGCCGAAGTCGCTTGACCCACACCTTGTGGGTGGTCCATGGCAGGAAGCACCCAGCACTGGCCCAGTGGTGTGGATGGGGAGGAGATGACGATGCTGATGTGTATGCGGCCCCAAATATCAGAAGAAGACTTTGGAAAGATACAACTGTTTTGGGATGTGGGCTTGAAATTGTTGTTTTCCTGATTTCGGCAAGCAAGCCTGTACTCTGGTACAGGAGGTTTTGGTTTCGCAGCACTTCCACTCGTTCAATTCGATAAAAGTGTTCGTTTGTTTGGTTACTTGTTTGCTTGTTTCGGCAATTGTGTCCTTTTCTGTTTGGTGTTCTTGGACAGTGCAGAGTTGAATCGAGCAGAGTCACACCGAAAGTGGTTCAGATGACGATCTGCAGGATTGTTTGGATCTGTGGTTTCATGTTTGTCTCTCTTTCAACCAGTCAAACCGTTTGATTGTTTACCATCTCACACACAAATGGAACTCTTCGTCACGCATCCTGCTGACTTGGCGAACATTTGTTTGCTTTTCAGCACTTCAAAAGGTGTTTGGGCTTTTGCAACTGCACAGCATACCATGTAGCCCAGAGCCTTAATTTGTGAAGAAGGCAGAAGACCCGAAGTAGACAGACAAGGTTCAAGGCAACAAAGTGACAAAGTGCTTCACAATCCACCTGTAGAGGAGCTAGCTAGGTGGTTTTATTCTGCTGTAGATTCTGGTAGGTGAGTTGTTTGTCATGACAGGAAGCCATTCAGGTTGTTAGACAACCAAACTTTATACATGAGTGAGTGATAGCCCCAAAAATAGGACCTGTAACATTTCAAACTGGCTCTGGATCGAGCGACAACTGCTACAAAATGTGTTTGTTTCAGCAAGGCAGCACAAGACTCAAGTCTATGCAAACAGATCAGACAGGAGCTTCCCGCGATGTGATCCTTGCGTCATCGAAGTCGAAATCCATCGTCATGCGCCATGGAGCAGGCTGAAATCGATTTCAAAGCAGCATGGCACTCATAGGAGATATGGTCGATATGGTATAGTAGTGTCGTTTGGAACAAGCAACCCTCTTGAGGGGTTCCAAGTTGGGCCTGGCTCTGTCACTTGCGAGTTGCAGACCACTTTGCCGTGGTGAGACCACCACCCCAAGCAGGTGCGCAGCGTGCACCAGGGGAGGCAGGCCATGGTCGGCGCCGGACTCGGCCAGGACTTGGGACCTTCATAGATTATTTTCCTACTGAATCCTTTTGGGTGTGCTTGGCTTATTGTGTCTCAAACGAAAGGCTAGTTTGTGTGGTGATGGCCCCCTGTCTTGCTGGATGAAATCAGCTGTCAAACAAAGCAGGGTGTTTATATTGGCAATCAGGCTCGTAGGGGATCCTCTTTTCAGAGGCCACATCTTCCAAAGCACTGCATGAGGTGCTCCTGGAACCGTACTCCAGCTGCCATACGAGGCGGTGAATGCTGTTTTCCGGATCCATCGATAGGGCGAGGATTCCTTGACACACGTGCAGAAACTCAGTAGACTAAACAAGGCGCTGCTCCAGATTCAATTATGATTTCATGCTGTGCCTTTACCATGGGGTGTTTCTGAAAGGTGAAGTGAATTGTAGTCAGAGTCTTTTGAGGAATGTTTGTTCAATCAGTACTACTCAGCAAACACAAAAAAACACGAAATGCCCAAAGCCTCCCCAAGTCATCACCGTCATCACCATCACGAAAGGTCGTGTCCCCCGTCCTCGCCAGGTCGCCGTGTCGCACATCGAAGCCGAGCTGTGCGCCGCGCTGCACGCGGCGCTCGCGACGACCGGCGCCACGGGCGACCACGGCGGCTACGCGCTCTGTGGCGCGTGCGAAGCCACGGAGGAGCTGCTGGAGCTGTGCGAACGGGTCCGGGAGCATCCAGAAAAGGGGAGGGAGCCCCTAGTAGCGTCCTTGCCCCTAGTAGCGATGCCCTTTGCTCCTAGTAGCGTCCTTGTTCCTATAGTAGTATGGCCAGGAGCCCCTAGTAGCATCCTTGTTCCTAGAACAGGGAGCGAGTGGATCTGTGAAGTTGGGGCATCATTGGTTGGTCAAGTTGGTTGGGGCATCCATGGTCAAGTCTTCAATGGGCCCAAGAACAGGATCCAACTAGAACACATGGACCCTGTCCGAAAAGGTCGTCTTCCGGTGTCGCAGCTTGGGTCGCGCCAAGAAGACGAAAGAACCGTCGCGCGGATTGAGGTCAGTGCTCCGGACTGCCGCGATGACACCTGGGATGCCGTCATGTGACCTGTTGGTCAGGGGAACGGTATGTCGAACCAAACATAGGATGGCAATGGTTAAACTGGTTAAACGGCCTGCTTGCATGAGGCTCTGTGGATTCAAAATGCTCATGGGATATGATAGAACGATAGAAGCAGTGGTTGAAATTTTGCCAAACAAACAACTGGGAAACCCTTCCTGATGCTCTCCTTCTTTGCCGCAGGTACCACCGTATCGGACTTTCCTGGAAGACCCGGCGGCCGGAGCTCATTTGGTTGGATGACAAGGTGCAGAGCTTGGGAAGCGTCCGAGGAGAGGTCTTCAGGGCCTTTGGGGAAAAAACTGCAGGAGTTTGGGGGGCTACCAGAGATGGATTATACAAGGATCTAGGAACTGCAGCTATAAGCAGGATGTTCTTCACTGGTTTGTTGTTTCAAGTCTGGAGAGATCACAAGGAATCCATCCACATGACTCCATAGCTTCATGGGAAAGCAAACTTGAGGGGCGATGATAGCCGTTTTGTTGCCAGCTGTACGTATTCCCAGCCGTTCGACATTGGTGTGTGTGTGTGTGGCAACCTCGGAGGATTCTCGAAGCATGTCCCTGCATATGGTAGGTACAAAATCCAGGTTACCCAGATTAAAGTTCGAATGCTCCTTGTTGAACGTTGCGTCTCAAGACCTTTGGCATCAGAAGCGGAAAGTGGTGCATGGTGTGTCCAATTCACCCCCAAACTTGAAGCGGCAGTAACTTCAAGCTTGAGCGGCTCGGGTGGCTGAGACCCACTCGGCCAAGGTGGTGCAAGTCCAACGGGTGGCTGAGCTTTTGGACGCTCGGTCCTCTCGAGCCGTGGAAAACGATGGAAGCGCTCGGTCCATCGCGTGGTTTGGTCCAGTCGACGTGTCTCACGACGTGCGAGGAGATGTGAGGAGGAGTCCTGGTCGGGGTTGATGGAAGAAAGACAAGCTCATCTAGACGTCAGTTTTATGTCATACCCTTTGTCCATCCTTTTCTCCTTTGGGGCTAAAGGGCGACCCATGGCTACCCTATCAAGTCATCAATTAATGAGGATCTCTTCCCACAAACTGAGGACGGTGAGCCCTTGCATTTGCCTTTGCTGGCACACGCACATGATGCGCCGAGCCTGCTGGAGATGCAGCGGATCGTGCTGGAGCGTCCGTGGGCGGCGGCGCGGTTTGTTTCGGTCGGTGTGTGAAAGGCCAAAGGGGGAGAAAACAAAGTGGGTTGCTCATGGTTCGGTAGACCGTGACAGACTTCAGGGTTCTGCGACAAACAATATGGTGTCTTGCTGGTGTCTTACGGCGTCCTCCTACAGTTGGACGACCCAGAAGATCCGGAAACCTGCGTGATCGCGCGCTGTGGAGCAAAGAAATTCGGGTACCGTTCGGTGCATCACCCTGACCAGGAGCACGCCAAGGACAATGAGTGACGCAGCTGCAGACCTGGGTGGCCGGGTGGGTGGCGGGGAGGGACGGATTCAGAGGTTGACCACTGTTCGACCTCTGCTTGCCCGAGGTGTTTTTTTTCTCTCTCTCTCTCTCTCTATCTCTTTGGCTTGTGTTGACACCAGTTGTGCCCTTGGGTACTATCGTGAATGTTCGTCTAGCACAACCAAAATGTGGCCATTTTGGCTGGAAGCCCACCAGCCATCCTCCTCGCTGTTTACAGCGGGGGGAGAATGGCTGGGTGGGAGAGAGGACGTGGCCATCAGATGAAGAGGTCAGAGGCAGCGTTGTCGCCTCGGCCCGGCAGCGCGAAGCTGGGTAAGACCTCTGGTCTGATGGCCATCGGCGCGTGGGCGGCCCGAGTAGAAATCGCGAAGATGATCGAGGCAGGAGTTCCTGCCAAAGAGATTCTGAGCGAGATTCGAAAGGGAGAAGAGGGAGACTTTCCCCTCCCCCCTTTTGAGCAGACGGTCACCCACTCTGGCTCTTCGACTCCTGGGAGTAGTGCCACCCCACGCCCAGGAAGAGATACGGGGGTGAGCTCTACGACATCCCGATCCGAACCACCCCGGGGAGCTCCCTGGGAGAAACCGCGACATGGGAGCCCCGTGTCAGTATCTCCGACTTCGGCTGCGGGAGGTCACTCTTCAGGTCTGCCCGAGTGGGCAAAGAAAGGAGACGGACCCCGTATGACGTTCCGCAAGCAGGCAGTTGCACCAGCTGAGGCAAATTTGTCGGACTGGGCAAAACCTGAGGCGAAAGAAGCTGACAAGAAGAGTGAGAGGGCCGCAGAGTCGGAGTTCGAGTACACCCCCACGGAACCCATAGCGGAATTGGTTGAGAGTGGCATCTTCAAGAACTTCAAGAAGAAGGCGGAGCCTCCCGAACGTGAATGGGAGCTTGTCGATCAGGCCCGCGGTTACGTTCCGATTAAGTTGCCCTCACGGTCGAACCCCCTGGAGACGGAGAAGTTGGAGACCTTCCGTTCTTTGTCCAAGGCGCTTTTTGAAGAGTTGGTTGTCTTGAAGATAAAGATGGACCTGGTAGAGACTGTGGTAGAAGGTGGGGAGTTGTTGGAAGATAGGTTCCACATCCTCACCGAGCCACGGTCAGCCGGAACAGGTCTTCGGTATGCAAGGCTTCTCAAGCGTTATGTTGACGCATACCAGGAGCATGGCGACCCCGAGAAGGCACCCCAGGACGAGGGCTTCATGCAGAAATTCATCCTCCAGCTCATTTCGGATGGATCAGGTTTCCGCACCCCGCAGAGCCTCGTGTATGCGATTGAGCACTTCGGTGGCATCTTCGGTTTCGAGACACCGGGACCGAGGCACGCTAGAATCCGAAAGATGGCGAACGACTACTCCGCAAAGGCGCCTGAACGAAACCCAGCTCCCCTTTTTGAAGTGGGCGTGCTGGAGTACCTTGAGGGTGTAGTTCTGGATTCTGGGCGAGATCTCCAAACTAGGGTTGCCTGTGGGAAGCTGAGAGTCTGCATTCAGGCGAGTGTTCGACACAGCGACCTAGGTGGCACTTCTATGAGCGCGGTTGAGTGGTGTCGGCCGGTTGGACGTACAGAGATTTTGGGGTTGAGGGCAAAGGCCGCCTACACCAAAAGCGGTCCCAGACCTTGGGCTGCCGCGTGGGTGGCGGTCTCTGCTAGCAACGATCAGTGGCTTTTTGTGTGGGTTGATCTTCTGATCAAAATGCACAACTTGGCTAGCGGCTTCCAAGGTGATGAGGGTTGGAAGAAGCACGATTTCGTTGGCTGCGCGTCGGACGGCATGGGAGGCTTTCGTACATGTCCTCCCCTAATCACAGAGGATACGCTTGTTGTCAAGAAGTGCTTGATGGACGACCTTGAACAAGGCAGGGACGTCCCGCTTGACGAGGCCGCGATTAGGAAGCTGAGGTGGCATTCATGCAAGAACACAATCCCCTCCTACATGGTCCACTTTGGAATCACTCCACGCACAGTGAGGTATCAAGGAGCCTGGAAGAAGGCTTCACAGGCTATGAGCGATTTGTACCTGCGAGAGTCGCAGAGTATTGTCCTGAAGGCGCAGTGGCGCGTGATGGATCAGATTCGACGAGGCGCAGCTGTCCAATCGCTGACCGGCGTAACGCTGGATCATAGACCACTGAAGCCAGACTGGGGCACCGTCAACGAATACCTCCTGTCCGGGAAAGTTCCCGAGTTCCAAGGAGGAGAGCCTTTCTTAGGAGCCATGGAGCGTGCCGTGATCTGCACCGAGAACCCAGACACTGGAAACCCGGAATTGCAGCTCCAGCGTGCGCCGGCGACTTTGGATGCGCGAGCTGAACTTCGTGGAGTAGGAGAAGGAGATGAAGAAGGTCTGCGAAGCGTGGTGAGCCAAGAGGCAGAGCTTGTCAAAGAGGGAGCGCAGGAGTTCTCAGATGCTGCACTCTCGGACCTCAGCTCCCCGAGCTCAGGTGACGATTCTGACGACTCATACATCGACCCGGAGCAAGGTGACATTGACTTTTGCCCACACTTTATCCAGCTCTCCACTGGGTACGGAAGGATCCACAAACCCGGAGAAGGCTTGCTGGCGGAGAAACCGGCTTGCAACGCAGTTGGAAAGCGCTTCACCAGGCTCGTCCTCGATGAGGATTGGGGGACTGGGTATGACCTTTGTGAGCGCTGCTTCGGAAGGGTCCAAGGATGCAAGCTGCTGTGCGACTACAGAACGCAACGGAAGGGCTTCATGATCCGCTGCTCGCGCCGCTGCTGCCCTGAGGCCGTGCCAGGCCACGTGAGCCCAGAGGATCCAGGTTTCGAGCTGAAACTGGGCGGGCACAGGTGCATGTTCCATGGGATACCTGCTTAGAAAGGCCATAAGCCTGAGCGGGATAGAGAACCATGGCTGCTGAGACGGGAGGAAACTCTCCCTACCTTTACATCGTAGTGCAAAAAATTAAAGCGCCGGTTGATTTTTATTGAGCCATGCAGCCATGCGGTCCCGGTTTGCATGTTTACTCTATCCTTCGGGGTTACAAGTTCACATGAGAAAACTGGAGGTTCCACGGGGGAAACCATATCCTTTCGTTTGGATGTGATTGAAGGTGCGGCTAGATGAAGACGTCCGTACGAGTTGTCCCCTGCGAGTTTTCTGCGGCCCGAGTGGGACTTACACCCAGTCGCCCCGAGTGGGAGTCCTAATTCTAAGTAGCCATGGCCGATGCGAAGTCCACCATCGCGTTCGGAAGGGCAGCAGCTTCGTTCGATGTCCATGAATCGGATTTTCTGGTTCTAGGTTTGGACAATGTGAACACTTCGGAGGCAATGGCCTTCAGATTCCCCACTGCCGCCGATTTCGACGAGTACCTGAAGAAGCAACTGCGAGTTAGAGCGGCATACCGTCCGGATGGGGGAGCAGTGACTGGGTTTCCAAAGCATCCCGTGGAAAGCTGGGAAACCTATCGCTCTTCAGAGGACGTAGGCTGCTTGCGCAAGTTGTGGGCCTACGCAAACCAAGTGGCAAAAAGGAACATGGAGGGGATGGCAGGTGAGGACCCAGAGTCGAAGTCGAAGGTGACGGTCGCCCTGGGACAGGAGCTGGAGGACAAGGCGATCAACTCTGGGATGCCCTCACCAATGTCGGACAGGGACAGACCGTCTCTGCACACCCTGAGCAAAGTTCAAAACAACTTTGGCCCCGGGGGAAACTTCCAGCGTCTCCCATGGGAAACATACGTTGACATGGAGACAGAGAGCAGGCTTCGTCGTGCTGGAAAGTTGCCAAAAGACAAGAAGGAAGTGGTCATCTCCGACAAGAAGTTGACCCTCAACGAGAAGGACGAGGACTTCCCAGAGACCCCGAAGATTGTCGACATCCTGACCCTGAAAGATGTCCTCGAGTTGAGGGCTAAGGCATGGCACATGATGGAAGTTGTTCTCCATCAGGATGCAATGCTCTATCAGGAAAAGTTGATTGGCACTTTGAGGGCAACCGTTCCAGATGGGATGAGGCCCCCGACAATCAACGAGGCCAGGCGTTGCGACAGGGAGATCATGAACGAAGTCCTGAAGGTCGTTGCAAAGGGTGCAAGCTCGGTGGGGGCAGGACTAGGCCACTACGCCGAGTTGGGGGACGGAGAAGGTCTATGGAAGCTCCTCCAAGCCCAACCGGAGTCTTTCCCGGATCAAGGGCTTGAGAAAGGATCGCAAAAGAAAGGGCTGGCCGGAGCAGATCCCGGTGGAGGCCGGAAGCGCGATCTTGACGACCAGAGCGACAAGACGACAGATGACGCAAACAAGGCCAGGATGTGCATGATTTGCAAGAAGCGGCACGAGCCTCGTTGCGAAATTCCTCCTGGTTGGAGGAAGGCCCAAAAGGAACAGAAGAAGGCGGAGAAGTCAGCATCGGCGAAGTCGAAGGGCGACCCCGCGAAGGACAAGGGAGGCAGTGGCAAGAAGCCATATAGGGATTCGCCCGCCCCAGGACGGACACAACTCCCGTTCCTGGAGTGAGGGCAGACTTCTTCCGAAAAGGATTAAAAAGAGTTGCGCGACCTTGGGATCTGTTGCGGGGCAGGGACGTGTTTCGAGACCGGATCGAGCTTGATTCGGAACTCGTACTACACGAAGTCCAGCACTGGGCACCCAATTGTTGCACTTTTTCTCGGGCGAGGGAATACCCTATCCCCGGAGTGGCAAACCCGCCAAAACCCCTCAGGAGTGAATCTTTCCCTGAAGGGATTCCAGATGTAGTCCAGCACCTCCCGGTAACAAAGAGACGGAAGCTAGCCCTCGATACCGACATGGCGAATCTTGCTGCTGACAGGTGCTTGGACGCCCATCGAAGTGGGCGCTACTTTTCGCTCGAGAACCCCAAGAACTCTCTGGCTCGCCACTTGACCAAGTGGAGGCAGCTGGAAAGGGAACCCGGGGTTCTAACCACCTTTTATCATGCGTGCATGTTCAGCCCCTGCAAACGTAGGAAGGCACAAGTTTTAATTCACAATATCCCCAACCTGGTTGAGAGGGTAGGTCTCACATGTGAAAACAGTCGTTTATGTTCTCGTACCGGGGAGAAGCACTTGCCCTGGAGACCCACGGTTGTTAACGGTCGTGTGTCTTCGTTCGCCACGGCCGACGAACGAGAGTACCCACAGGCCTTTTGCGAAGCTTTCGCAAAAGGTTTAACGTTCGCCGAAGGGACCTCCCCATCGAGTTTCATAGAGGGTTTTTCTGGGCCCAACGCGCCCCTCTCCAGAGCAGTTGCCCTGGAGTGGAATATTGATCCACCCCCGAGGGCTCAATCCCAGGGACGTCCTGGAGTCGAACACTCGGAGACTCAGACGTTGACGAACCCCGTAATTTTTACACCGAATCTAACAAGGGTTGAGCAGGAACAGGACGCTGAGATTTCAGGGCCTCCTGAAAATCCCGTGCATGTTGCTGAGCCGCTGAAGCGCTACAGGACTCATGCAGTTGAAGCAGGGAGTCAACCCAGCTTCGGCAAGAGGATGCAACTGATCGCTGATGGACTTTGTGACCCAGCGGAACACCTGCGGTTGGCAAAAGGCTCGGATCACCCTTTCGATTCTCTTAAGTCGCTCAAGCCAGAGCACGCCGCGGCAATCACAGAGTTCGTCGACGCACAGAATTTGATTTCTAGAAGGTTGGATGCACTGCACATGTTGAAAACTTGGGCAAAGGAGTTGAGAGAGGGACAGTCACAAGTTAATAAAGGTGCTTCTTGGACTGCCAAGAAACTAGGCACCAAGGTGAACACGCTCCTTATGGAACGTCTCCAGGACCTCCTGAACATCGAGGATAAGCGAGTTCCAGGGTTGTGCTTGAAAGGACTTAAAATCACAGGCAGAGCTCATGAGTCGCCTTTCTTCGAACAGTTGGAGGTCAGCCCAAGTATGTCGCAAGATGAGTTCATCGCAGGTTGCAGTGAACGATCAGAACGAATGATTGACCGAGTCCGATACATGGCAGAAAAAGGATCCAAGGAGTTGGCTTGTGCCATCTGGGAAAAGACCCAGAAGGAAGTCAAAGCCGGCACCATGGGCCCAGCCATGACTTTACAACAGGCGAGGTCTTTGTATCCAGGTCCACTCCAGGTCACGCCGAGTTTCGGCTTGGAACAGGGACAGGACGCTGAGGGTCAGAAGAAATACAGAAGGATTGATGACCACACTGCATCCGGAGTGAATCAGGCAGCACATCGAATGCAAAAGGTGCCCATGGTTATGGTGGACTACGTGGGCGTTCTATGTAGAGCTTTAGCCAGATCTGTTGAACAGATCTCGATGGCTACCGAGGATATGAAAGGTGCATACAGACAGATCCCACTCTCACCAGAGGATGTACGCTTCGCAATCACAGCTGTCTACAACCCGGAGCAGCAGGAGGTGTCGCTCCACGAAATGTACGGACAACCTTTTGGGGCAGGCCACGCCGTGCCAAATTTTTGTCGTGTGGCAGAGTGGATAGCGAGAGTGATCCAACGATTATTCTCTTCGACCACGGACCACTTCTTTGACGACTTCTTCGTTGTGGAACCGACCACAACCATCAAGTCTGCTGTTTTCTGCCTTAGGGAAACGTTTCGAGTTCTCGGATTCCAGCTGGACCCGGAGAAGTCGCAACCTCCAGACGAGGTATGTGCCATCCTGGGAGTTTGCTTCAACACCGAGTCTTTGCACAGTCAAAAGATTATCCATGTCACGGCCAAGGAGTCTCGCCTGGCTTTCCTCCAAGACACCATTGATAGGGTCTTGAGTGCAGGTCGGCTTTCTCCCGCCCTCGCAGGTAGCCTGGTCGGGAAGTTCCAATTTTTATGTTCCACACTCTTTGGGCGCGTGGGACGTTGCTGTACGGGGCCGCTTCGTCGCAGACAATACGCCTCGTATCCAGTCGAGACTTTGACGGCTGAGCTCATCCTGGCCTTACGCCAGATGAAGTGCTTCCTTTCCACGAGTCCATCCCGTGAGTTGAAAGTTCATCACATCAACCCCATCCTGCTATACACAGACGCCTCGGATGTTCCCGAGCGTGTACCGCAGCGAATATTGGGAGCCTTTCTTCACGACCCCATCGACGAATATTCTGGGCACACGGCCTGGCCCGTCCCGGAAGCCCTCGTTGAGAAATGGCTTCAACGCAAGTCATTCATGGGCCAGCTGGAGCTTCTGGCAGCCCCGGTAGCTTTTGAAACTTGGCGTACCCGCCTGCAGAACCGCTCAGTTTTTCTCTTCTGTGACAACGACAGCGCATCAGGTTCGCGGCTACTCACCCCAGGTCGATAGTTCTTCCATCGTCGGGGACTTTTGGCTGACAGTAGCCAGGCTGAAAGCATCTGTCTACATAGACAGAGTTGAGAGCAAATCAAATCTTGCAGACGGCCCTTCTCGTTTTAATTTTTCAGAGGTCCGCGATTTGGGAGCAACTTGGACACGTCCCGATCCCGGCGTGTTGGGACGAACCCCCACACCCCTGCATCCCAATTGGCGCACTGGAGCAGCGGGGGGGATAGAGTTACAACACCAGAGCGCCCCTAACGTGGCCACCGGGGGAGAATGCTCTGGGTGTCGACTCTACGGGTGAGCAACTCTTGTTGTAGGTCCACAGGGCACACGCATGGGTGCTAGATGTGGATATCAACGACAAGAGCGGGTGGCGCCAAGTTCCCATATCCAACGAAAGACCTCGAGTGAACACGAAGAGGAAAATGGTTTGGTGGAGCGGCTTGAATATTCTTTAAGCAAGTTGAAGTTTGTGGATTGACTCTGAAACTTATAAAAGCCTGCGACAACTGCTGCTCAAGAACCCACCATCAATGGGATTTTGTGTGTCATGGACACACATTGTTCAAGAACATGGATCATAGATTCATAGATTCCTTTACATCATAGAGGGGTCATCTTCAACCTTCCCGCCTTCACAAGAAAGGAAGAGCCATGAAGAACCATGAGCATGACAAAGTGGGTGGCTTCGAACCCCACGAGTCGAACGAGGCCTTTGGTGGTGAAGCCACGGCATGGCCCGGGGCTTGGCGCCGCGAACCGTCAGAGATCGTGTTGAGGCAAGCGGCTAGCCTTATTTCGAAGCAGTGCTTTCACTGCGAAAAATCTTCACCTCAGATTCCTAACCTTCATTCTCCCTCTCTTTGAACACGTGACGTCCCTCTGCCTTTTGTCCCAGGTGCTAACTCGTGCTTTGTCTTCCTTTGGCCATCGCCAAAGGAGGTGAACGTCGAGGAGATCTTCCAAAGTGTCGAGGTATGCCCGGGCTGGTGGGAGCGAAGGGGGAAATCGAGAGAAAAGGGAGAACCGAATGGAGAAAGTTCGGGACCCCGAACTGCCATATATATAGCAACGATTTTGGCCAAATAGGAGGGTAGGGAGACATCCGGAGACTGGATACCACTGGATGTCCGTATGCTTCGACAGAGTCACATCCGCTGAAACATGCGATGTTCACCTCTGTGAGAGAACTCTCGGCATCGACCACCGCCAGCCGTGCCCGACGAGGCTGCGATGGCCGGGGAAGATCGATCATGGGAGAAGGACCGGTTCTGCGAATCCGTCGGAAAACCGAACCGGAAGAACGGGCGAAAAGAACGCACGCGGTGACGGGGAGCCATAAATGGAGGCCATCGCTATTAGGTTTAAGAGAACAGTCGTACAGGCTTCACATGTTGCTTGGCATTTGGGGATTGGTGATGTTTGGTGTTCGATGGTCGGACGTCCCTCACGAGGATGGATGGGGATTACAATTTCTTTGTCATTTCAAGACATGACGAGTCATGTAGTGATCCAAGCCATACTATCCAAAAAGCCATTGCCGGGTGTGCCAGATGTTGCACGTAAACTGTGCGTCGCAGCACTAGCAAGGCTCAACAGCTACCAGGTCCCACCTTCCACTGGTCCACTTGCTCATCCGAACTGGTCATACCGCGACTGCTTGCGCAAGCGCCGTCAAGGAGTGTTGGCAGCTATCACAAGTGCCCAAGGGTGCAGTGCTGCAGCCCATGTATCAGATTGCGGTCGGGATCTCAGCCGGGCTGAGAAGGACAATGGCTGGTTGACACGAACCGGGTAACTAGGGGAGCTGGACTTTTGGACCAAGGACGGGCAGGGCGGGGAGGGGGAGACTTGGTGCCGTCTCAGGTTGTGGTGACTAGGCTGATGTCTCATGCAGTCCAGCACGATCGCTACCAAATGATGTTCATCTCTAGGTGATTATGCAATATTCCAGTGTCATGAGTGTTAGCAGTTAATCCAAGGACCCAGTCCAGTCACCTTTTGCAAGGAAGCTTCTTTTTTGCGCTGACTAGATGGTTTGCCAAAACTGCAGTGGTGATGGACCGAGGTGGATCGAGGTTCTGCAGGTGGACCACGGAGTCGAGCGGCGCCCATGGTGGCGGGGCAGAGTGAAAGGGTGCTACAGGGGGTGTTACAACAGACGGAGACTAGCATGGAATGAAGCTTGCATTTGCTTCAAGTTGGTTTCCACATAGAAGGCGCCTGCGAGTGCTACTTGTACAGCCTTCTAGCCTGGGAGGCCGAGTAAACGTAGTTCTTTTGTTTGGGGGGTGCATGTGAGAGAACATGCTAAAGGTGCAGGAGACTTGCTCAACAAAGCACAGATAAATACAGATAACTGGTACGGCCAGGTCACAACCCGAACTAAAACTCACTTACAAAAGGGGAACAGAACCAAGCAGGCAAGCAGGCCCATCCCATCACCTTCCAGGTTCTTTGTGAATTTCCCTTTCTGGCACATGTTTTCGTGGCTTAGCTCCCGAGGAGCTCAAAGTGCAAGTCCTTTTCGGCCGCGTGGTGGGCGCCACTCTCAACACCCATCCGCAGCCGCTTTGGGCGCCTTGGACTGGACTGGGTAGTGGGTCGGTGTCCGCCGGCGAAAAGCACCGGCTTGTTTCGGTGAAGGTAGAACCGGGCGGCTTTTGGCAGGGCTTTTTTGAAGGAATAGAGCCATGCAATTAGAGCCCTTTTCCTCAAGTCTGGGCAGGTTCCACAAAGAGAGCCAAGAGAGCTGCGGCAGAGTCGCAGAGGCTGCGACGTTCAAGTCGTGCGGCCCCGGAACCACGAGGGCATCGTCCCGAACCGACTGAGGTGGCTCGGACGGGTGTGATCCAACTTTGGGATGCCGAGGCGAACGGGAGCCGCTGGGCCGGGCGAACCAAAGGGCTTTGGTCACTGGGAATACTTTATCTTCATCTTAGCTGAAGAAAGTGCCGCAAAACCATGCAGGCAGAATTCACAACCTCTTTGGAGAAAGGTGTGTCGTTCAAGCCTTTTTGGGTCAAATGATAGGATGAGAAGCAGGATGCCCCAGTTACCCAGAAAGCTCGTCGTCAAATTCCGAAGGTTGGAGCTTACGTGACCGAGAAAGCTGATATCCATCGGCTGATCTTCACTGAAGCTAGGTGCAAAGTCGCTCCAGTAGTTTTTTGACAGAATTCCTATCATAGGCCATAAGCGCAAAGAAGCGTTCTTCAGTCAAGCTTAACTCGTTTGACTTTGGATTCGTCGAAGCTTTGGCAGGATTTGGTGCAGCGGGGACAGGTGCCGCATGACGACGCGCGTTGGAAGTTTGTTTTTTCAAGCAAAATAGTTTTGATGGTCTTACCAAGTTGAAAGTGGGTCTCTTGGCCAGCCAGGTAGGGTCGTACGAAGTCTTACATGCTGAGACGGACCTTACCGAGCATCTATTTTCTATGTCAGAGAGGGCTCATTGGCAGTCGATGAGTTTGTGCAATCAGATGGAAATCCGGAAAAGTCATTGGGACCAATTCCACGGGAGTGGAGCCTTCCTGTTACGGAGCCAGCCTTCCTGCAAGGTCCGTTGCAAGAGCCTGGACCGTTGCTATGGGCGGAAGCTGCCGGAACAGTTGCTTGAGCAGTTGCAAGAGGCGGCGGGTGTGAGAGCCAGGGATGAAGCTACTCGTATCAGAAGAATTTTTGATGTCTCTTTGATAAGACTTTGAAATTGCTATGGCATTCGGGACAAAAAAGACACCGTGCGTGGATTGTGCGTGGTATTTTTGACACAAGTCCCATTCGCAGAGAATTGGAAGAACACCACACCATGTATGTCACAAGATCAGCCCAATCATATCCCAGCACTTATTATATCATCTTGATGATTGACCTGTCGGCTGCAGTAGACCTGCGTGCTTCCAACAAGCACGACTGCCCAATTGAGTCGCCCCCGAGCCGCAGGCCTTGGCCTCCGACTGGCTCTTCATTCGAGGTGTGCCGTTTTGCATTGCAGATGAAGAGATGTAGCAAAAGGGCTCTGTAGAACTACTCACCAAGGCCGGAAATGGAAAAATGTAGCAAATCGTCTGATATGCTGATCTTTGTTCAGCCTCATGCTGCTGTTGTGGCAGGAACTTCTGGAACAGTTGAACCGGTGATGGTTTTTGATCAAAGGGAAAGCTATTGAATCAGACACTTCTGAGCACCCACGCGCCAATCTCTCAAAGATCCTACAAATTGCGCAAATTGGCTCTGTATGCTCTATGCACACATCACTTTGAGCAGATGAAGCTGTACACGGTAAACGACCAATGGGTGTGTGAGTCTCATGGTCAAGTCCACAAAGGAATCTATTGACGAGTGGAAGTTTAAAAGGATCAGCCGAGAAGTGAACAATAGCGAGTAGGAATCTAGAAAGGCACTCATATGCGAGCCAGTGATTGCTCCTGATCGCTGGATGATCACCATACTACGAGAAATTGATTTGCTCCAACACATTCCCTGTATAAAGAAATTGATCTTTTTTGAATCCAGCAGAAAGCTTCACACCCACCCCAGCGCCTCAGATACCTCTGAGCGCCTTTGCCGAGCTGCAGGCGGCAGCTTCATTGAGCCCACTAATCTGTGCGTGTCATGGAATTGTGTCAAACCCTGGAGCCTGTTCCACCATGTAGCTTGACCTCCCAGATGGGTCAACCGCTCAGTCTGGTGCCATGACCCACAGCCCATGAGCCATCATGAGCCAGTGCTGTACCCATGGAATGTCCAAGGTGTTTGAGGTCTACAGCAGACTGAAAACTGGGTGGAGTTTTCCGTCGCATGTTCGTCCGTCGATGTCACAAACAACGACACTGGACGTGAGGTGGGGTGCTTTGAACATCGTTCAACATTCCAAAAGTGATTAGAAGGAACAGCTGAAGAAGGCTTTGAGAAAATCCTGGAGATCTTTGCTTAATAGCTATAAGGCGTGTTGTGTTTTTTAAATCTCTTTGTCTCTTCAACCCATCCACAGAATTCCACGGCAGCTCAAACTAGCGCACTGGCAGGTTTGGATGAACTTCGTGTAGATTGGCTCTTGGGAGATGCCACCTGGTCAGATTTTAAACCCTGTAACTAGGAAGAGAAAGGAACAGGGGCAGCAAGAAGAAGGGGTGAACATATTCCAAGAAACAACTCTATGAAGGATTGGGATGCATCTAGAACCTCTAGGACCTCTTGCATCCGAAGATCCGCCGGCTATTGGCTTGTTAGCCACCTTCTAGACTCCTTGGGTGCCAAGAGACTCAAGGATCGTTCGATCGGGGCGCATTATCGATTGCCGAGGCGAAGTGGGGAGCACGCATCGGAGAGCTCACCTACATGGGCGCAGGCGGCGCTGGGCGGAACGGGCGGAACCCGGCGGAATGGGTGACGGCGTCTCACAGAGAGGAACTGACTGGAACCTTTGGCTTCGTTTGGCTTCGTTTGGCCGTTCTTTGCTTCATGATTGTGGTCGAAGATGTGGGTAGTACAGATAGAGTCTAATGCACTTGCAAAAGGACTCATGCAATTGCGAAGTTCATTTCTGTGAGGCAAAGTCTAAACCCTGTTGCGATTCACGGCAAGCATTAGCGCACAGCACATGTTTGAAGAATGATCAGAACGACATGTATTTGCTTCATAGGAGCCGCGTTGCAACAATGCACACCTTTAAAAAGGTGAGGTGTTGGATCTTGAGTCCGCCAAAGATTGGTATTGTGCACAAAAAATCCCAAAACAAAAATGAATCAAAACACTGTGCTGTTCACGACCCTGTCCGGTGGTCGTCGTGTCCTCCAGGCTCTCGCGTGAGTCCGCCGCTGGCCATGCGCTTGGCTCGGGCCTTCGCGGCCGGGCACCTGCTGCGGCGCCAGCGGATGCGCCTGGAGGCGAGGGACCCTCGCCCACGTCGTGACGCATGGACGAAGCTGAGGGGGGAATGTAAGTATATATACCAAGGTATTGTGGAAATAGCTGAAACCTTTTTTGTAAGTCGAGTCGTTGCTTGAAGTATTCTTGAGCAGCAGAGTTGGTAAGCCCAGCACAACTGCTGACCAAAAGGCCATTCCTGAGGAATCTTTGTTTGGCTTTGCTCTGTTTGCGGAATTCTTGTGGCAGGAAGACTCTGCGGCTGAGCCTTTGTGGCCGTTGACCGCAGAGCGCGGCAAGAAAGTCGCGGAAAGAAAGGGAGCACAATGGAGCGCATATATTGGTGATTGATCGGAACCGATCAGAATGGAGGGTCCAATTGAACTGGTTCCCTAAATTGTGCGAGGATTTCCCCTGAGGTTCAGAGTTGTCGAGTGCGTTCAGAAGTCCCTCCCCACTATGCAATCGATGCTACCTGCTACCTGTTATACAGGTACTACTGTTGATGCAATTGGTGCCCGTTAGGTCAGGGAATTTGTCCAATCGCAGAATTCGATCGGGGGTGAATTTCAGAATGTGGCAAGGTGTTCCAGAAGCCAAAAGATACGTCATCGATTTCATGGGCCCAGTCGGATTGTTCCTATCTCGGTGTCGTTGCTTGAGCTACTTCTAGCTGGGCACCACCCAGGGGCCCGACAGGAAGACTCAACGGGTCTGGGAATCCGCTGAGGCGGTGGTGATGAGGCTTTGCACCACCGCTTATTGGAGGCCCAGAGCGATCTGCGATGAGTAGATCTGACATGTAGACGTTCGGGTAGATTTCAAGGTTTGGAATATCAGGACCCGGAAGCTGCAACATGTTGAAAGATGTTGAAAGCACTATCGAACACTTACAAGAAGTTTGAACAAAGATTTGAGATGATTTGAGGGGGTTGTGCGAATCAAGGTTTTGGTTCATCCTTTTGAGGGTACCTTAAGAACATATTTTTCACGGCAAAATGGCTCTTCCTCGTGCCCTTACTATCCCATCGTCAAGCAAACACAGAAACTCAGAACAGCTTTTCACAGGATGGCAAGCCGCAATTTCCAGGGCAATCAATCAATGCGCCGTCAAGTCGAGTTCGCACACATCGAACCCAAAGTTTACATTCCTTGAAGCATCGCTTGTAGGTTGGAGGCCATCGCTATTAGGTTGGAGGTCATGGCTCGTAGGTTGGAGGCCATCTTTTACCTTCCAAACTTCCACGTCCCTCACACTCCGCGACCGATGAATTCGCCGCAGGTGGCCAGACAAAAAGTCTCCGACCTGTGCCATGTGGCCACCTCTGCCGCCGGCCGAGTGATGGGAAAGTGGCCACGGTGGGATGGAGACATGGTGGATCCCATTCGACGTACATCCCAGCTCAACAAACAATGTGTTAACAAACTTACATCCCAGATTTTAAAAGTATTCCAAGTTTACAACAAAAATGTTGCAGATCTCAGCTACCATCGACCTGAGAAAAAGGCCTTTCGCAGAGGAAAACGCCGAGCGGGCCGTTCTTTTTGTTTGCGATTGAATATGGTCGTTTCTCCGAAGTCCTTTTCCGCTCCAAAAAGCTTCGAACGGTCACCTTCGACATCCTTCGACCGAACGAGGTTCGCGAGCTGCCCGACGCAGCGTTGCCCGGGGAGTTCAGTGAGGAGATGAGGCGTGTTCACCGAGGGCGAGGGTGGAGAATGGACTCATGAAAGACCAACCTGCTCAAGGCAAGGCCACATGGCTATTGGGTTGGAGGACTTCATGGGGCAAGCTTGGTCCGTTTTACTCACGTGTTCATTCTTCTTATGGAAAACGTGACATGCATAGAAGGGTGTGTGTGTGTGTTCTTGCTCGATCGATAGTGGTCCTGGGATCGAAGTTGCGAGTCCTCTCGAGTTGTCTCCACTGCGATTCGTCTCGACTGCGGTTTCACAGATGTCACGCGAAGTCTTCCCAGCGCTCTCTTTGCTTTGGTGCCAGTATTGGCTTTCTATCAGTTTTACCACGCTGGAGCTTTCAGCCTCGTCAACATGCTAAAACAACCGAAGTGGAGGAGTGAGTGTACCACCTTGCAGGTGGACAGTACCTGCTGAGACATCAGTCATATTATTTCTTGTGACCTGCGTTGCTTGTGACGTTTTGTGCCAGGAACAATGCCAAAGAAGCAGACCCAGCCTCAGATTCGATCCTTTGAGTACAATCAAAGCTGCATTTGGCTTTGCCCCAAAACACGAAGAAGCTAAGTTTTAAACTGAGGACACAGGGCAGGTTTTCTAGCTCCTGTCCTCCCTAAAAATTGAGATATCGTCAAGTTGGGCGATGGACATCTGACTTCTACACATCAGCTGTTCGGAATTATTGCCCCGAACTTCTGGAGGCGAAGAGCAAACGTCAAAGGGTTGGAATTTGTGCTTTGACAGCTGAGGGATTGGTCGTCGAAGAGACCTGAGGATGGCGAAAAAAGGGTTCGCTGATCTCAAGAAATTGGGTCTGGGTCATGAAACTGCAATATAAGTATTAATATTGAAACGATGTCTTTTTGTGCGTATGATTTTGGATGTTCATGTTGAACTTCCTTGGCCTTTCACTTGGTGACTTAGTGAACGAATCACCGGTATTTAATGACTCGGGGACTTCCCAAGTTGAGACAAGCTCATTAGCTGCTTGCACCACTTCCGGGCGAAGGGCTCCGAGGATACCTAGAGCATGAGCTACCTGCTCGCAGTCATGGACTCGATGAAACGACAGAGAAGGAAGGCAAAGAAGGCAAGGGTTCGGAACATTTTCACACAGCCCAATTACAAGGACACGCACCCATGTGGACCCACAGACAGAAAAGAGTAAACAAAATAGTTTTGCAAGTCCAAAAATGATTGAAATCGCGAAGCCAAGCCGTGGGTCCGTGCGCTCATGGCAGACCTTGATGTCGGACTCTTTTGTGCGTTCAGCACCGCGCCGAAATGTCACGGCACCCAGTTGTTTGTCTGGAAGTGAGAACGTCATCAGTTACTGCCAGTGATGTTTAGCAAAAAGTGGCACATGAAATGGGAATCGTGTCACTGGGAATCGTTTCGCCTGCAGTAACAAGAAGCTACTAATCAGTAGGTCTTTGAAGCTACTAGGAACTATAGAAGCTTCCCTGGGAATCGTTTCCCAGGAGCAGACATCCGTGACAGACAAGTCCAAGGCGTGACGATGCGGATTTGGTTCACGGGCTTCGGGGAGAACACGGGGAGAACTTCGGGATATGATGGTGCCATGGACATTTTTAAGGTTCTTCCTGTTCCAGTGGTGGGACTGTGAGGTTGCTCGGATGTCAGACTACGTTCTAATTGTTCGCAAGCTTTGGTCTCAGCATCCTACCAGCCCCTAGTCTGGGAAGTTTTGGGACGCGGCTCAACGGAAAAATGCATCACCCATGTTCTCTTGGCTTTCTTGCACACGTAGACTGTGGCCGTCATTCAAAAACTCTGTAAAATGTGCACTGGAAGTCCGTCTAGGAGTGTCCAACCGTTCCAGAGCCCGATTTCAGGTGGAGGACGGTGAGGCTCGAGCTTTGGTGAAGTGGACTTGAAACAGAGAGAGAAAAAAGAAGGACATTATGTTGTTCTGATATTCAATGCATATTGTTGCAATGTGACATTTTCGGAAGTATAGATGAACGATTTTTCTTTTCATTACAGTCTGTTGTTTTTGACATTAAAAGTTCTGTTGCTTTGATTTGCTTTGTCTCCTGATTTGGGGTTCAAGAGCGGAGCCAAAGGGTTCAAACCGCAAGCAATTCCATAGAAAACCGCATTCTCATGGCAGACTTGAAGGTGATTCCAACCCTTCAGGTGGCCCTCTTCGTGGGCTCCTGGATCACTTCCTGGTGGTCCCTCGTCACAAATGCCTTCCGCGTGACGCTGGGTGGCCACGGCTTTGACATCGTCTACGCCGCTCCCATAGCAGTTTTGCTGTTGGGTTTGTTCATGACCAACTTGCAAGGCTTTCTGGAAGAGAAGCGCAGAGGCGACATGCCCCTGGCGAAAGCGGCAGCTCTGGATTTGGACCTGGCATGTTTGCTTCACCGGCATGGCAAAGAGCTTTGTGCAGGCAAGCCAATCAAAGCTTGGGACCGTCTCAAGGTAAGACAGGCCCTTGGAAGAGGCATCCCGCTCTCGATGGTCTCCTTCTACATCGCCAGCCGCAGCCTCGTGGAAGCGCCTGCCTGCCAGCTCCTGATGACACTCAGCAGAAACGTCATTGAGGGAACCAACATGCCCAGCAAGGTTGCCGAGTTTGTTGATAGCCACCCCTACATTTGCCAGATGGATCTCCCTTTTGGCTTCGGACTTGGCTGTGTAAGCAATCATGATGCTCTGCTCTTCTTGGAGGATTGGACGAATGTCCCAAACAACCTGCAAAGTTTGAACAGTGAGAGCAAGAGCAAGATGCACGATGTTGAAGGCACCATTTGGAAAGCGGCCCATTGTCAGGAATCAACCTTTTCTCCAGGGAAAAGTGAACGCTGCAGCTATGAACTCTGCGGGGGTTCGGATTTGCCGAATGGTTCCATCCAAGCTTTCAATGAAGTGGCAACACTCCTCGCTGTAGCAGAGATGAAGAACAGCGACGAGCTGAGAGACAGCCTCAAAAGCTTAGTGTTTCGCTTCACCGGGGAGTGGCTGCTGTCCGCCGCCATCCCTTACAATATGGTAATCAATGCTGTATTGAATCGAGTAAGCGTCTCTGGCGACCAGGCCTTCATCATCAAATCTTGGAGGCACTGGCAGCCACAAGTTGTTTTAGGGGCACTCTTCCTGATTGCATCCATGCTGCCACTCTCCAAACTCATCGAAAGACAACGGCGCTTGAAGGAGCAGCGCCACAAGATTCCAATCCTCGTTCACCTCAGCCTAGACATCCTTCTTCTGGAAAGTGCTAGCGTGTTCATGCTAACATCACACTTCATCAATCGCTGGGGCGATGCCGTCATTGATGCAGCGCGTCAATTGACACTTGCCATTGCCACCGGGCTCAATACGGTGGAGGTTTCAACTACGGGTTCTTTGGCTGACCTGAAGAAAGAAATTCCTAAGCGAGTCTGGACGGACGAATTCATGATGAAGATGTTGAATGCAGTGGAAAGCATGAAGGAACCCTTGGAGGTGGATGAAGGGTTGCTCGGTGCTTTCGTAGCAGCAGCATTGTTCTTCTACAGCGTTTCCACGGTGCTTTGCCGGGACAACAGCGTCTGTCGGAGCCAGATGTGGATCGCACGGTGGAACGCAGCCGTTGGAGGACCCCTGCACCTCCTAGGGTCAGTTCAAGAAGAAGAGGTGCGCCAGCTGTGTCAGCCAATCCGCTTGCAGATCTTGCTGCGCGGATTTCTGCTCAGCTTCCTTCTGGGCTGCTTCTTTGCACCTTCCAATGGCCTGGATGCGTTGGCTTCCACGGCCCTGGTCTTCAACATCAAAGCCTCTCGGACGCCTTGGATCATTTCTTGGCTCTTCCTTTGGGCTACACACGCCATCACCGGCGTGTTGGCCGTGATGGCCATCGAGGAAAACCAACAGCTTCGTGATGAGGACCGCATGCTGAAGGACATGGAAGCCTATGGCTCCATCAACAAAGCACCAGTTGCCAACCATGCCATCGGCACCACCACTGCCACCAGCGGCAACGGCTTGCCTTCAACCCAAGCTACGCAGCCACCTGAGCTTGGTGCCGAGCAAGGTGAGAATGGCTCCTCTTTGCCACCTCCACCAGCACTTCAAGATCCACCAGGCCTAGGCCTTTCAAGCCCTTGAGGCACAGCCTTGAATGGCACAGGCTGAGCCTTCTGCCAGCAAGCCTTTAACAGTTGCTGTAAATAAAAGGTGGTCATCAGCTTGTGAAATGTGAGTCGATTGCAAGTGGCTCATCAACATCCTGCGTTTTTTTTTCCATGAGAAGTGTGTGAAGTGAAAACAAACTGAGGCTGCTGCTGTCAGGAGCTCTGTCAGGTCTTTGGAGTGAAGCTGCCAGGGACTAGCTGGAGGAGCTGCAGCCAGTGCTTCTTGCAATTGTACATCACGTGTTTTGAGTCGTTCAGTTACATGTTGGGAACATGAACGTGGACCTTGCATTGGTCAAAGAGGGGCACTTGAGAAGTGGTTCCGCTAGTCCCTTACTCTCTAAGTAGACTTTCGGATGACATAGGACAAGTCACAAGATCAGCTGCTTTGAGTGCCATCGCGGTCATTGAGACAAAGGCGAGAGATGGAGAAGTCTTCAGGGTGCGTGATGATCCTAGTAGCATGTTGCACCAACTATTGCGAGCTGAACCCTTTTTGGTGATTGGAAAGTTCTTGTTTCAGCAAATCGTTCAAACAAGAAGAGTTTCAACCATTCAAAGTTGCTTTGGAAGAAGGCTTCTGCCAAGAAGCAAGCGGCCGGCTTCGGTGCAGCAACACAGCGGCCGGCTGCCGGCAGCTTGGCAGCTTTGCGGCCCAAGATTTATAGCTCAACTTGTCACATCCCAATCTATGTTCTTCTGTCACTTTCATGTAAGCATATAACGATATACAATATATATATATACATATATTTGTTTAAAGGTGTTGTTCGCTTTTCTGGGGTGTATCTCTTGTTATTTGCAAGAAGATCCGGGGTGTGTTCCAGCTGTCGCAAGGATTCTGCTTCCTTCGCTGTGGTGAGGAGCCGATGAAGTGGTCCTCGACGGCACCTCTCTTCGGTGGGGAAAAGAGAGCCGGTCCAAAGGAGCAGTCGAGTCTTATCATAGGCATGTGTGATGGACCAATGCTTAGCTAAAGGCTGAAGGGATGATTGCTTAAACTTGGTTGATTTGGATCCAACCATGCGTGGCCTCCTTTCCCTTTCTTGCACTGTGAGTCAACCACCAGTATTACAGACCTCAACCGTGAGTGCAATGGTGGCCTTTGTCCATTACACATGGATGGGCCGGTTGGCTTTGCTGAAGCAAATGGGTAAAGAGAGAGTTTCAGACAAATCCAGGGCCCCTTTGGAACCCGGCTGAGGAGCCCAGAGCGGGTCTGGATGGGATTGGTATCAGATCATATGAGATTGAGAGAGAGAGAGAGGAGGAGAAAGGAGAGAGATGTCTCCAGTGATGTTTCCACTTCGCAGCGAACTCTCATGGCTGGACTGGTCCGGTGGTCCACTCGTGGCTCTCAAGTTTAAAAATATAGCAGGGACACTCAACTTCCCATGCATAACTAACTCTCATGCACGGACCCTTACAAAGGGATGCAAAGGAGGTGAAACATCAAAGCGAGCTAGACAAATCTATCCGACCAACACCCCAAAACGGTATTCAAGTCCATGAAAGAAGCTGCCCTTGACTTGGCTAACAAAGTCAATCTTCATAGACTCGCCGTGCGTTTGACATACGATGGCCTTGCTCTTTCAGGCTCGAGCTTCTCCAAGACTTTCAGTTGCCTGACTCCGAAGAAGGATCTCACGACTGTAGAAACAAAAGGGGAGGGCACATGCTGGTAGTGTTGAACTAAGGAGGGACGTACTTCCATCTCTAATAGCAATGGCCTCCAACCTAGGGACTACTCTCTGATTAACCTAGAAGGTCCTATGAATCAGCTCAGGGACGTCCTCTTAACCGACCAGGCATGACTTCGCCCAAGTCTTCAGTCCCGAAGTCGGTGTCCTGTGCTGCGCAAGCCGCTGCAGGTGTTGATCTTGCCGGTGGCGCTCCATCTCAACAGCCTTGGAGGCGTCTGTGTGTGGTCGGACGGCTGCTCAGTAGATCGTAAACGAGCGACAGGGAGGACAGATACGGATAGAGCTCCACCAGGATCCAACGCATGTTATTGTTCATCCCACCAACCCACAGGAGAGCTTTGACTTGTGTCAATTAACTGTCCCAAGGTTTAGCACAACATTTGGACTCTCCAAGCCGCAAGCCTTTCTTCCTAGCAGGTTCTGACAATTTGATGGGTAAGCCGTGGTAAGACATCACATAAGTCACAGGGACCAGTGACATATTGATGTCATTCGCGTTTGTTTTACCTTGTTTTGCACCTTGCTGGACGCCTTGTTGGGACGCCGTGAGGTCTCCTTCCACCCCCCCGGCGTCTCCAGGTCCAGAGAATTTGGACCTCACGGTGGAGGCGAGTCGCTGCCGCGTCGGAAGAGAGCGACAGGGGCCCCCCGGAGTCCGTGTTTGGCAGGGCAAGGTCGCTGGGCATAGCGAGGGCTTTATGCAAGCATTTGCTGAAAAAGATGTGCAGAACACACGTTCAGCTATTTGCTGAGGAAAGACGCTTCATGGAATGGACATAGTATTTTTGTTGGAGCAGAAGATCATTGTTGTCCTCACAGACCATCTCACTGAGTTGGAAGTCATTTGACATTTGATTAATGCTGTTGAAAACTGATCATGTGACTCCATCGAATTGTTCCTGCTGGGTGTCGCTGAAGCTCCTAATATTCAGACTCCTATTGCAGGGAGTGGGTGATTTGGAGAAAACGTCAAGGATTACGTTTTTACATCTCTTCAAACATCAACCTGAAACAACACGGAAGTGAAGAACACAATCTGCATATGTTTGCATGATGTTAGGTCTAACAGTCTCGCCTCATGCCAGGATACTTCCTTGTGTGCTGGGAGCCCAGACACGGGGGAAATACAGCAGCAGCTTCAAACTCATTGCCGTCATGCTGCAGAAGGGTCCAAACCCATTGCAAATAACATGCTTTGGAAGAAAGGGTCGGGTAGAACGGGGTGTTACTATGATATATTATGGTTCATTGTTTGTGATAAACTGAATTGCCAAGGGCAAGTACCAAGGGCCACACCGAGTGTAGCTCCAGATGCTGCAATCAGCCATGGAGAATAAGCAAGTAAGCAAGACACATTCAATAAGCTGCCCATGAGCTATGGTACTATGGTACCATCTACCATTGCCTTCTTGATTACTTGGCGTTGGTCAGAGAATAGCGGGATTCAGACGTTTTGGATTCTCGCGACATTTCGTAAATCCCAGTCAAGATACGCCACAAAGTTCATGCGAACAAGTGAATCCTGAATCTCCATTGCCTCTCATCAAGCAGCAGAATAGGGGGTGGAACGCTTTCAACAATTTTCGCGGCTCTATGCCTAGCCCTCCCTGGGTAATGCTCCAGCCTATCGATTGGATCCCATTCCCACTATCAATCATCATCCACGGAAGGTTTAAAAAAAGTCAATCAAATACCCAGCGGTGAACAAAGATGGACCATTACTCATCATCAACCAACATACTTATTTGGCCCTTCAGACCAACCCACCAGCTACACCTTCCCCTTCACTGCTTCGCAGACGAGCCCCGACCCAACTCACCAGGTCCCTGAACAGCTGACCTCAAAGCGCCTCTGCGATGCGAAGCTCCTCCGGAGCCTTTGCGACGGCAACGTGCATCGGGACCTCATCGAGGAGCAAGACGAGACGAGACCGTGGTACCGGGCGGGTGGCGGAAGACCTCTGGGGAAGGCCCCAAAAGGATTTTGGAACTCCAAAGATTACAGATTGAAAGATGTTCTTGGCCAAGAATCACATCAACCAAGACCTGCAGTTGCTACGTATGTTGCTGCCGCTAGTCCAGCTCTTTGGAGAGGACCCCCCCCCTCTGCCAGTGACCAATGTGCTGACATTCTTTTGCTCAACGCCCAACGCCCACGGAAGGCCTCTGCAGAGATGGCAAATCAACAAATGGCTTCCTTTGTAACATTGAAACATCTTCGTTTTGGAGACAGGTGACGGATTCGATCTTTCGCAGACCAGGACTTCCTCGCGTCGCAGACCTGGAGCCCGTTAGGCACGGCATGTGTTGTCTCTGGGACACGCCTCGACGTCTCACAGACCCTCTTGTCCTGGAAGAAAGTGTTTGAACCTTGGAGGGGCCCCGAACTGTCGAGAACATGGATGGGTTCCATGAACAGCTGGTCAATCAGGCTAGAAACGAAAAGGAACCCCAGTGCCACATGAAATAGAAAATTGTTCTTTTTTTTGGTATCCTCCTACTATTGGCATCTCAGAGTGACGGGTTGGCGCCTGATCTCCTTCGGTGCTTTTGAGCCCTGGCCGCACGAGTTCGCCCAGGAGGCCAACAGCTGGAATCAACGGTGAGGCGGGCGACCGAAGAGATTCGCGCGGTGGACAGTGGCCGAAGTGGGAGAGACACACGTAGGCGACGCAGGCTTTGGTCATTGCTAATGTGATTTTGACCCATGCAGTGATCCTAGTAGAAGAAAACCATCCAAATGATTAGATTCCAGGGTGTTCAAACTTGGTGCTGACTGCCATGTCTATCAGGTTGGTTGGTGAGTGTCAACGGTAATTACTTTGGATTTACGTTCATGTGAGATGGGATAAGTACCATAGTAAAAAGGGCAATATGGTTTTGTCCAAAAAGTTGGTGTTTAGAGGTGGAACTAGAGAATGAAAGTCGGTGTCTTTGTGTCTTCCATTCTCCGAGGTCATCAATACACTTGTCGCTGAGATGGGATGGAAAATCCCACAGACAGGTAAAGCTGCTACCCCTCAAAATTGCGCCTGACCTGAATGCAGCGCAGAGACCTTTGGAACCAATCCCATGTTGACTTTCCCCACCAAACCCCGCAGTCCTACCTGTTCTTGGGTCCTTAAGGCGCAGGGTGTGGATTTCGATTCGGCTACGGTGACACCGACGGTGGCGAACGTGTTCGGCCTGACCGACCGGCGATGTCCGCGTTCGTCGCCAGGGCCTTGGTCTCTGAGATGCTGTTCATCTACGACGCAGCGGTCACTCGAGCGTTGGAGAAGGGCTGCATGTCACTCGACAGAAGGGCTGTAGTATGGGATGTCCCAAGCTGGGCAGGAGAAGAACGTAGGCGACGTAGGCTAAAGAGTTGCAATGTTTGGTCCTGTTCTTTTTGCTTTTCCTTTGGCTCTTGGTTGTGGCTATGATTGAGGCCAACACCAGTACTGCTATTGGGCCTTCGTTCTTGCTTTTTCCGGATTCTGCAATGGTGTTGTTGATGTTCTTCGTTGGCAATGTCGGGAGACCTGACGCTTGTGGGCTGAGACCTCATTGCTTTCTTAATTGATTCCATGCAAACAGTCAAACGTCAGGTACTTTCCAAATGACTCCCAGAAGAGGCAAAGAGCGATGGCCTCCAATCTACTAGCGATGGCCTCCAACCTAAGAGCGATGGCCTGCAACCACCTTGAGTGAGCCCATCCTGAGAAACATGTTCCATGTCGCGATCTGCCTTGCTACGCTGAGATACGCCCACATGCTGGCGCTGCTGGTGTCAATGCTGCGTGTCCACATCCTCTTGTTGGCGGTGGGTTTGGTGCAGGCGGGATCAGATCTGTTGGGATGATCTGAACGGTACTCATTTGTGCAGCCGTTCCAGATTTGGTTAACCTGAGTGAGCTTGGATTCAAAAGGAGATCTCGAACCACCAGAGATGTTGCAATACTGGGCGTCACTTCCTGCGAAGCCTATCCGAATCCAAGTTCCTCCCAATGACCAACGGATCTTCCTCCAGTGCTTGGCAGGATATCTGCAGCAGCCTAATCTTCTGCTCCAGGACGGCTGATGAGTCTATTGGTCAGGTCAGGGACTCTTTGACTCAACGGTTATACCATTTTGATGAACATGCAACCATCGCTTTGCCTTTCGACCATGAAACTTTGAACCACCAGCTTGTGCCACCAATTTCGGCTACGGTGACCAGGATGTGTCTCCAACGCCTCTTGGCGCCGCTGTGCGAAGCCTGGGGCCTCCTGGACGGCCTTTGTCGCCGTGTGCGACGTGACTTGGCTGTTGAGGGCGGGTTCCGCCGCGTGTGGACCGTGGTGTCGGCGGTCGCGATGGGACTTGGATGGAAGGTGAACGGCCATTGGGAAGCAAAGACGTTTGATTTTTGGGGGGACGGGTCTGTGCCTCATGAGTGTTGCTTGTCCACTTTTTCTTCACCAAGCAAAATGACCGAGCTCACACTTGAGTAGATGTTGTGGCCTTATGGCTTCATCTCTTTGAGTCTTTGATCAGTCTTCGATCGGAGAATGACTGAGGTGAGCGCCCAGTGGTGCCACGCAAGGCGGGTGGCAGGTTCTCTATAGAAAGTACGACGCAAATCTTCACACTCAGCGCATTTAGATCTGATTGGCACAGATCTTCTGGAAGCCCATGTTCTAAATTGTTGTCATAAGACCCTCACTGGTCGTCACTTCCACTTCCGCCACCGGGCTCCATGCGGACAGCTGTGACTGGTCAGATGCTCTCGGTGCTGCCGGTCTCCGTGAACGCTGCGGCGGTGCGGCGCCGGACTCGAGCGGCGCTGGAGGCCTTGGCGACGTCGCGCCTTGGACGTGAAAAAACCACGTGTGGCGATGGGATCAAGTGGGGAAAAAACGGACCAATCGCCACGTTTGGATTGGAAAAAGTGGGGAAGGTCGCGATGGATTGTGCCGTTGATTGCACTTCAAGCAAACAGAATTTGGGAGTGGGCAGTGGGAACCTTGAAGTGTATTCTGTATTTTATGTTTAATTATGGGGTAATTTTGGTGACACGCCGTGCATGTTCCTCAGCTGTTGCTCAAGATCAGCCACGTTGATCTGCCTCTAGATCAGATGCGCTGGGTGCTCCTCGGGGCGTTCCTATTCCAAGACCTTCAAGGCATTGAGCTGAATGAGTCTTGTACGAAGGATGAGCTTTTTGGCCCATTGGGGCAGTCGCGGTCGGTCGCGGCGGTGTTGGGGCCGGAAGGATGATGCTGACGGATGCTGACGGAATTGGTCGGAAGCGGAGATGTCAAGATACAACCTTCTGTACAATTGCATGTTTACTCCATCGTATTGTTCATGTACAATTGCCTGGTGCTATACAATGCACCCTGGATCAAAGGCCTTGAGCCTAGCCTAGTTTAGCCTAAGGACAGTTGCCAAGAGGAAAATAATACAGAGACGTGCACAAACAAACGACAAACGAAACAGCTGCTGAATTTTACATGGTAGCGGAGCAAGGATCCTGGTAACAACAATCCAGGTGAGCTCCAATACAAAAACAGGAGCAAACACACAAACACAGACAACAGAGGACAAGCCTTGACCCTACAACAGGTAGCTTGTACAGCTGCAACAATGGCAGCACCACCAGCAGCAGCTCCAATGGCAAATGGAGGAGACCACCTGCCTCCAGTTCCAGAAGATGAGACAATCACAAACATGGCAAACATGAACAGATACAAACTCAAACCACCCTTCTTCAATGGAGACTATGGCACGTTCGAGGAATGGAAGTACAAGTTCACAACATATATGGGATTGCAAGACAACGACTACACAGATTTGCTACAAGCAGCGGAACAAGCCACAGCAGAACTCACAGAGCTACAATTACGAGCAGCGGCATCAACAATCGAAGATGGTGAACGACATGTTCGCCTCAGCACCGACTTGAGGTACATCCTCATCAACACAACATCAGGAGCAGCAGCTACAGTCTGCAGACAATACCAACACACAATCGGCTTCGAGATGTACCGACAATTGTGCATCCGCTTCTCCATCCCATTGGGGACAAGATCCATAGGACACTTGACAAGATTGTTGAAACCAACATTTGACAAGAACGATTTCGAAGAATCATTTTCCACATGGGAATTTGAGCTACAACGCTTTGAGAGAGACAATGGACAAACACTCCCCGACTCCGTGAAGATTGCCGTATTGCTCAACGAGACAAGTGGACCACTACAACAACACTTACAACTGCTTTCAGGACAAAGCCCAAACTATGCACGAGTCAAACAAACAATCATCGAGTACTACAGGTCGACAACAGCATTCAGCAAACTACAACAACTACGATCACAAACATCCAGCGTGGCAACAAGCTTCGGCGGTGGACAGGCACCGATGGACATTGATGCAAGCCATAAAGGAAAAGGCAAATACAACAGCTACAAAGGAAAGGGCAAGGGAAAAGGAAAGAACAATGGCAAAGGCTACGGAGGATACAACGGCTACGGATACAACAGTTACAACACCAACTACAAAGGAAAAGGAAAGTATGGAGGAAAAGGATTCAATAGCTATCACAACAGTCCGATCGGCTTCGGCAATCCATTCGGAAGAGGCAACAAAGGAAACAAAGGATTCAGCAAAGGATACAAAGGCAAAGGAAAGAACAAAGGAAAACAAGCGACAGACACATGTTACAGATGTGGACGAACAGGACACTATGCCAAGGACTGCCGAGTGGCAATACACAACATTGGACAAGGAGAAAGCAACGACATTGAGGACACGACAACACAATGGTACGACGACTACTATGACAATGGATGGTACTTTCAGGACTACACACGACAACAGCAGGCACAACAGCCATTGGCACTTCCACCAATTCCATCCACAAGCAACCATGATATGACACCAATCCATGTCATTGCCATGATCAGCAATGACAATGACCACAAGTTAGCTACAACAAACAGCGGCACAACAGATACTATGCACATCATGATCGACAGTGGAGCAGCCACAAATGTCTGCCCACTATGGTTTGCAGACAACTATCCAGTGCACAAGATTGACCAAGCACAAAGCCCAAACCTCAGGACAGTGACAAACAAGACAATACAATGCTATGGAGTAAGATGGGTCTACATGCAATCAAGAGGACAACCAATTGTCATACCCTTCTATGTGTGTGACATTCATGACCCAATCCTGTCAGTGACAAGACTGGCAGAACAAGGCTTTGACATCAGGTTCAACGACACTCCCACCAGGCGCCATGACAAGGGATTCAATGTTCCCTTGGTGCAGCAGCACAACCTCTACTACTTGCCCGCGACAGTCATGAACCTGGGACAACATCAACAACTACAGCTGAGACATACACAAAAGGGCATGAATGCAATGATTGCCCCAACAACACTGACAAGACATGGACCACAACAAGTCCTTGGAGGCAACAGTGACTATTGGAACTACAACAATTAAGGATACCTTGTACGGTATCACCGGAACAAGAGAAAAGCTCTCTTTGTTCCTGGCGACAATTGCCCAGTACCACTGGAGACATTGAGCAACTACAGACGAACAATCATTCGACGAACAGACGGGAACAACGAGGGCATTGTTGAACAATACCATGATTTGAGCAAGCATGAACAACGACGAGTAATACAAGGAGACACATGGACAGGAGAATTATGGTTCAGAGTGAACAAGCCGCCAGCACAACTGGCAACCACAACAGCGAAGACAACCGAGCAGACCGAGAAAGCACCACAGGTACTACAAGCGCGACACCGATCAACAACACTACAACTCCCGGAACAACAGGTAAGCAGAGACCCACCAAAAAAGACACACAACGAAGAAGCCAGCTCCAACCACTACGGCAATCCCTGATCCATCCACAATGACACCAACCACAGACTATTGGATCAGAGAAGGACACTATTGGAAACGAGTTCACGTACAGTACGGACGACAATGTACGTACCACAACAAACAGACGATGGTCCAGACCTTGGACGACTCAAACCGACACGGACAACATTCGTGAACAGAACGGAACAAGGAAGAGGATACACAAATCATGACAACTGGCGCGAATCAGGAGCAAGACAGCTTGACAGACAATGGACTGGATCAACAAACTTCGAGGAAGAGGCACAGTACAAGTACGAGCACGACGCGGACAATGAAGATGAATCTCAACAAGCGCAACGCGCCAAAGGAATGAAGGCACCACAACAACCAACAAGACAAGAGAGACTAGAACATGAACTGACACATTTACCGTACCGTTCATGGTGCCCAATATGTGTCAAGAGCAAAGGAAGAACAGACAATCCTCCAAAACAACCAAGCAAACAACCAGTGATACAAGTGGACTTCACATACATGAAAGCATTTGGAGACAAACAAGTACTACCAGTACTGACAGCAATAGATGTCGAATCAGGCATGGCAACGGCGGTTCTTGTGCAAGACAAGAACCAACAACAACAATACCTGATACGATGTCTACAAGCATTCATGTTTGAATGTGGGCGAGCGCAAGCAACACTATCAACCACAACACTACAATCAGACCATGAAGAATACATACAGAACCTATTGGAGGCCGTCGCACAAAAGCTCGGAAACAACGTCAACATCCGACAATCACCGGCATACTCGTCACAATCACAAGGAAGCATTGAACGATTCCATCGCAATCGCACCTTGATGGGACAAGTCCGAGCACTGGTACAACAAGTGACCACAAGCTACAACCTTACATTGAGCGTACAACATCCGATCATGCCGTGGATTGTACGGCATGCAGCATGGCTACTGAACAGGTACGCCATGCACAATGACGGATAAACAAGTTACCAAAGACGATGGCAGAAGGACCACAAAGCACCACTATGCGAGATGGCAGAAACAGTACAATAGAAGATACCAACAACAAAAGCACAACCCAAGATGGAACCAAGATTCTTCAAAAGGAATCTGGCTTGGCAGAGGTACAATGACTGGAGAGTCAATAGTTGGCATCCCTGGCAAGGTCATCAAAGCAAGAACAATACGAAGACAGATCATGCCAGACAAGTACGGCAAGCAACTATTGGATACTATCAACGTGTATCCATGGAATTTGCCAACACCAACAATGGCAATTCCACCACAATTGCTTCTACCAGCTGACAACACCGCAAGCAGACAAGCAATTGGCACACGAGCTGACATTACAGTGGAAGACACAAGCACACAGACAATACAAGAGACACCACTGGCACTACCAGCACGAGCAACGCACCATCAGCCAATGGATACGACAATGGCAACATCACCATTGGCAACTTCACCAACAATGGTGGCAAGACCACCACTGCCAACACCACCAGCAAGCAAGCGACAACACGAGGAGCCTACAGGTGAAGCACAATCCCAAACAATCAAGGACAGCACAGTCCTCAACAGCAGCAAACCGAGGACAAGATTGAAGAACAACCAAAGGCAAAGATGAGAACACAAGCAGTGACAATCACCACAAAGAAAGGCGACAAGATCACCACAGCATCCTGTGAAGATGAACAAGAAGCAGATGTGGAAAGGATGCTACAAGAACCCTTCGTCTACGACAATGAAGGTCTTGATCCATGGAAAGTACAACAAGGAATGAAGAAAGAAGCACAACCGATGAAGACACAAGGAGTGTTCACAGAGATGAACTACAATGATGTCCCCGAAGAACACAAGAACAGGATCATAGAATCCAAGTGGGTTAACAAACCCAAACAAGATGAAGTGCGATGCCGTTTGGTAGCAAAAGGCTACTTGGAAACAATCCTAGACCTGGACAACATCTATGCCAGCACACCAGTCTTTGGGATCTTACGTATCCTACTGACAATGGCACAGCACAACCACTGGACAATACAAGCAGGAGATGTGTCAACAGCATTCCTGCACGCACCAGCAGCAACAGACAATCTTTACATGTGGCCACCACCAGAACTATACCCAAGTGGTCACAACACAACCACAGTGTGGAAGTTTGACCGTTGATCGCAAAAACAACTGTGTCCGGCATTTTGGGAGCAAACAACCTAGTAGCTTTTTGTTCTTAATAGTTTCTTGCTCCTAGTAGTACAGGCAGGAACCCCTAGTAGCGGTGCTGAAGAAGCAGATTTGATGCATACTCAAACGGTTTTTCTTCTTCAGCATCTTCTGGATTGTAGAAGATGTTTTTTTAGACGTGTGAAGAGGCTGAAGATTGACCGCGTTGCGATGGGTTTCTCGCGGCCTTCGTTGGCAATCTCTCCATTTCTGCGGCAATGATGTTGGAGACTATGGTTGCCAAATTCGAGAGAACGCGTCCTTTCTACCTTCATCTACCTTCTGTCCGTCCGCAATTCTCTTGTTTTCCTTTCTTAGCCGTTTCCTCTATCTTTGGTTCTTCCTTCTTTCTGTTGTTTTGCTCGCTTCTTTCTAGGTTCCGGGACCATCTTGGATAGCCTTTTGAGCCAAAACCAAGACAACTCGCCAGGATCCGCCCGCATCCGCCCTATCGTGTGCGCCTCACGAATGCGGGTGACGTTCACTCAGAACATGATGAGTCTTCGACAACTTGGGCCAATCATCCTTCCTCTCAGAGAAAGCATGCTTCAGGCGGGGATAATCGGGCGAGAACCGGACTGGACCGGCAGTGATCTGAGACAATGCATTGGAAGTGACATGTTTTGGGGAGGAATGGATTGAGAAAAAGTGGAACATGTTCCTACTACTACTTCCATGTCCGTTTCCTACTACTTCCATGTCCGTGTCGGCCGCACGTCTAAGAGGCCAACGATGCAAACGACAGCCACGCAGTGACGCAGTGAAGAGCGATCGGTTCCGTTGGGCGGTATGCGATCTGAGAGGTGAGCGTTGAGCATTAAGCTTGAGAAGTATGTTTTTGAGAATTCATTACTGTAGAATGTAAGTTGAGCATGACTGATCGGACATCCAAGTGTTGGTCAGAGTCCGCGCCGATTTGGCGTGGGTTTTCCTTCTAGCTCATAATGGGCTCATTCCAACTTGGAGAATTACCAATGATTCCCGGCAATAGACCAGGATCATTGGTGAACATGATGCTGTTTGACATTTACAAAAAGGAGTTGAGTGAATCGTCTCCGACGCAGCCAGCGGCCATTGCTTTTGGTGGACCTTCTCATTCTCGATCCGACACAGCGCAGTTCCGCTGTTGAGAGCGTAGCTGGAAATGGACGGGGGGCCCAACTGAGCGTAGCTGAAACTGAAGCAACACACTGGGCTCATCTGATGAATCCCGTGAACTGCAGTTCAAATTTGTGAAGCGAATGGTGTCCAAGGCCTGCAAGGTGTCTCATTAAGATTGCGTGTCTTTGTTAGATTGAACAGATCTTGATTAAACAAGGACCGATAAGAGACATATTCCTAGGCGGTCGAGGAGGGCCGTCAATGTTCCAGTTCATGGGTGTTGCTTCACTGTCCTTTTCCAAATCCCGACGTTCTGTGTCAACAACGATGGCTCTTCGCAGCTTCCCATGACTTCTGCGGGTGGAAGCGATCCACACAATCCACACCACTGAGCAGTGGAAGCACTTTGTGTGTGTGTGTGTGTCGAGTGTCGTCGCCCGAGGCGACACCGGTGGTGGAAGTGTCATGTGGACCAGGAAACAACCCAAAGGAATTGACATTTCAAGAGACAGGTGGTTCATGATGGTACCGGATCTGATTGAGGAATCGACCTTTGATGTTGCATGACTCCATCGACCTTTGCTGTAAGGGAAGCTTTGGCAAAAGCTGGCTTGCAGCCAGAGGACCCGGTCGAGAAGCACCGGTCGAGCGCGTCGAGCACTTGCCAAGCGATGTGTTGGAGTGCAGATGTCTTCAGCATCCAAACTGACAGGCAGGATTATCTTCATCACGGGCCACACTGTAGCTCTAGATCGCATCGCACTATACTGAATCATCCGCACATATCCACACCCAGAGCTGTTCAGCCGTGCAAGGATGTCTCCTGCCACGCGGCGGAGTTGAACTACATCCAAGAGAGGCCCATAGCACAGCATGGCATGGGTGATTAAGAGTATTCAAGATCCACGGGTGTCAAGTGTCATGGGATTCAAGGAAGTTTCAGCTGTGGTACGTCGTTGTGTATGTGATCTCTGAATCCAAGCAATCTCGTCCATGTAAGGATGGAGAATGATAAATGGTCATGATCACTGTCCCATTGTGAAGACAATCAGGATTTCCTTCCAAAAAGGGAACAAGTGGAGCTGTAAATTGGACACTGGCAGCCTCAGGTCATTCTTGCAGTTTTGGTCCTTCAATGCCAGTCCGAAACCATCGAACACCAGAAGTAGTGCTGGAAACTAGATGATTTCAAGGAGGAGATACGTTGAATTGATGATCTGCTGTTCCCCGTAATTCAAGCGTCGCTTCCCATCTCCGTCTTCGAGAGACTCAGAGTTTGAGCTGCAGAATCGGAAGTGTCATTCCGACCAGGTGTCATCCCATGCGGGAGAAGGAGAAGGGAGATTGGTGGCTAGCTGAGGAGACCCTAACGGGAGGGACCCTGACTGCATCCTTGGGGTCGTATTTCTCCGATCACTGGGGTAATCGTTTTGCAGAAGAATTGTTGGATGAGCCCATGTTCACAACATTTTAATCTGTTGGGACTTGTCCTGCATGTGTTTCCTCTAACTTTGACGCGAGCATGATCACAGGGTGTAATGTGGGTGTCAAAATCTGTGACTAGTCATTTCTTGGTCAGCAAGCGGCTATGGCTGCATGTTAGAGAAGATCAACAGACACCTCTCCGCAAGATATCCACACTTGCGCAAGTAAGTGTAGTCCAAACTACAGTGAAAGAACGTGAAGATCCGTAGCTCTAGCCGCTTGATGCAAGAGTCTTCATCTTGTTGCCCACCTTTTTCCATCTCATACCCACCTTTCTCCTTCACACAGATGGCTCATGCTCCAAAACGCTCCGAACTGCCGGTGGTTGACTTGAGCCGCGCCAGCCACGACAAGGAGTCTTTGAAGACCAGCTTGGCAGTCCAGCGCCCGGTGCGCTGCTCGGACCTGCTGGGCATCTTGGGTATCCTGTTGCCCTTGCCCTGCACCGTGCTCTTGGCGGAGGAGCTGCTTGCCGCGCAGGAGACGGAGGAGACGGAGGTTAGAGGTTGGAGTCTATGACATGGAGTGAGGTCGTAGGGAGACGAAAACGAAACGAGCAGGAGGTGTTCACAGGTGGATGTGTGCTGGTTTCGGGGGGAAACGATTGTAGAAACCCTTGCCGGGTGTCGTGTTGGTTCGTTTTGTTCGTGAGAAAGTGAGCTCCACTTCAGGACTCGTATCCGCAAGAGAGCACGACTGTGTACCTACAGTAGGGAGCTTTGCAACCCCAAGTTCTCCAGGTTTTGGAAACCCTTTGAGTCTCGGAGTTTTGGAACTTGAAACCGAGCCATCGCAGATCATCCGTGGCCAGGAGGTCGCCACGCGGCTGCCGGGGGCCTTGCTGGGTTTGAGCGGCCTCGGATGCGCGGCATCCGTGGGGCTGCTGAGTGGAGGCATGCCGGTCACGTCATTGATTTCTTTTGGATGTGTGGTGGTGTTGTGGGTGTTGGGGTGTTGGATGCTTCAATGTCGACCAAGTTCATAATTGTTTGTTGTAGTTACCTACAATTTTGTTCAGAGTGATGTCAGTGTGTCGCGCTCTAATGTCAATAAGGCCGCAATGCCTCAAATTCCGCTTTTTTCTGGACATGGGGCCGATGGTTTTTGGGCTGTAGGATGTCGTCCAATAGCGCCAACATCTGATGTGTTGTAAGATATGCACTGAGACGGGTAACAACTGACTGTTCATACTTTGATGTTCAACTCATTTAAAGTCCAGTCAGTCCAGTCAGTTAAAGTACTTAAGTAACTAATTACTTAGATCGTTCCAACATTATCAAGACTTCCTAGGCTGCAATGAAACTAGTCGGGAGCTCTTCTGAGGTTCTTTGGCTTGGTTTTTAGTTCAGTTCGTCACGCAGCTGCCATACAAAGAATCATGCATTAACACTGGATCTGTGATCTATCGGTTGGGCAATATCTCACCCTCCTAATCGACCTCTCTACCGAGACTCCCCTCCATCACTATCTGTAGGTCCTTTGGCTTGGCCTCACCGGCTCCTCCTTTTCCTCCAACTGCTGCTCGCGGCTCTTGGTGTGGCCACCGCCAGCAGCAGCACCGCTGCCACCTATGCAACGTTTTCAGCAGCGCTGCTGGCATCGGTGGTGCCTGTGGTTGAAAGGGAGGGGCTTGCTGGGAGAGCAGTGTTTCACCTGATTATTATCATATTGGTTGACAGGTTGAATTGCGGCCAGTTTAGTGTGACTGCACACACCACCATTGACACCTTTTCCTTCTAATTACGGATGTTTTGATGTGAGAGTGACCTGAAATCATCAGAAGTGAGTTCGAAACATCTCCGCGAACTTCCACTTCAATGCTCCTCCCACTGTCCAGCCAACTCGTAACACACCAAACCCATCCGAACCCAACCCTTCCCTTCCCACCAATACCGAGAGTCGCACTGTGCCTACAGCAATTGAGCTACTTCTCAGGAGCTCCGCCGCGTGGGCAGCGCGGTGCCCTGGTCGCTGCGCCGCCGGCAGCGCCTCAGCGGCGTCTTCGCCGTGGCCTTCCTCGCCGCCGCGGCGCTGCTGCGCTGGGCGCGCCTCGAGGAGGCCAGCGAGGCCGGATCCGAGCGATGCGGGAGGAGCGAGTTGAGCGGTGGTTGGGCGGTGGTTGGGTGGGTTGTGGTGTGGTAAAAAGGTGGTGAACCAGCGATGGAAAAAGGACTGTCACAAGTTAGATGTGTGTAATTATTGAAGTGTGTGTGGTTGTTGATGGCACAGAAGGAGTCGTTGCACCGCCACTGGGAGGCCTGGCTGGCCTGGAAGGCCTTGCGCAGTGGCCACTTCTGTGATGCCAAGTATGGCACTCTGTTCCTTGGCTTATCTTGGATTACTCTATCCTAGTAGCGAACATTGCTCCTAGTAGTAAGGCCAGGAGCCCCTAGGAGCATCCTTGCTCCTAGTAGCGATGCCCTTTGCTCCTAGACTCTATCTCTGGTCCTGAATTGATAGTCACAGTCGCCTCTGAGAATTTCCTGGGCTGCCCGAGGCTCGGCCTCCCTTTCGGCGCTCTCTCGGTGCTGCTGACGTGCTTCAACGGCAAGGGACGGTGCTTCTTGGCGTCAGGTTTGGAGCTCAGAGGGCCGGGTGTAGTGGAACAGGCGCTGTTCAAGTTCAAACAGGGTACTGCACCCAACGATGACTTGTAGAGAGTGGTGTCAAATATGGTAAGGTGGACAAGTATTGAAAAAGAACCGTCTGATTTGCTACGTATTCTTGGGTTCTGCCCCTTTTGTGTTGCGTTCGACTTGGCTCTCAGTCGTTGCATGCAGGTGTTTTGCTGGCAATCTCCATGGTCATAAGCTCAGACTGAGCCAGTTCTTGCCTTTCTTGGCCTGGATGTCCACCTTTCCATCATGCCTGTAGCGGATTTCTGAACCTTCAGATCTTAGTGCTCATAGATCCCCTGTGTGATTCTGAATGATCCTGCAATCTCGTCTGGACCAAGGTCTTATTGATGCACACCGGCCAGTGGGGATACCGAGGGTCACGAGAGGGTGCAAGCAGACTGGGTTTGGGGAACTGAACTGAGTGGTATGCGAGAACAATGAAGCTCAGAAAGGTAGCTTTCCAGACTTATGATGAGTGTCGTGAAAGTCGAAGCGAAGGTAACTATATGAACACCCATAGGATATCGTTCCTCAGCTCCAGATCAAAGTCCCTTGATTTGGTTTGAGATACCCAGATCCTCACACAAACCAACCGCGGTGTGAGACTGATCGCTGCAAGGGCAGGTTTGGTGGCGGCCCTTTGGTGGCTCAGCTTCTGTGAAGCCGTCTCGGCCACTTGGGCGCGTTTGCTTCAAGCATTGATCGGATGAGTGGTTGGCTGGTGGAATGCTGGAAGTTCTTGGGGTCTGATTGGAAGTGGATGATCAGCTTGGAAAACTGGTAGTGGTTAGTAGAGAGTAATTGCAATGAGAGAAGGTGGTCAACAGTTGACATGGTAGTGAAGAAAGGACGGTTCACTTTGCCTTTGCCTTGAATGCTGCCAGGTGAGCTGGCACGCACGCCCTGAGTGGGCGGCAGCAGTGAAGACGCGTTTGGAGGTCGGATTTGCCGACCACATACATTGGTTCAAGCTGCATGTCTTTCTTGGTATATAGGTATTCTCAATGAACTCACCATATAGTAGTAAGATATAGTGACATAGACGTCTAAGTTGCTAGCCAAACAGCCACGAGAATCCAAGGGAGACAGGGAAAGAAGTGAAGAACTGCTTTCCATGTGGATATCACAGCTCACATGCTCATCCGCGAGTTGTACAGCGTCAAATTCAAGGTCTGTGTGACGTTCTCAAGAAAACCGTTTTTCTAGCTCAACTCATCATGAACATTGGCGCAATCGCTCAGCTGCAGTCCCGTGCCTGCAGGAGCCAGCGCAGGCACCGATGACATCTGGGGAGGAACGAAAAGCTCGAGATACCCGGCGACTTGGCAGATGGAGTGGAGCAGGCGAAAGGGTCTTAGTCAGGTTCTATCATTCCTATCCAAGAGCTGCATTTCACAGTTTTAAGTTTTAAGATTTGAAGGGATTTAGTGTGTGTATGTGTGTGTGTGTGTCACACTCTGTTCCTAAGAGTTTCCACAAGCAGGGGACCAGGCAGGATGCATCGTCGCCTGGTCAACGAAGCTGGCGATGCATCCGAGGATATGGAAATGGGACGCCATTTCCACGTACCTGCTAAAAACTGCTGTTTACGCTGTGACTCCACTTGTCCTTTTTTGTTTCCATGGTGGTTCTTCGCATGATATCCCCAAAACAGGTTTCCTTAGCTTTGGTAAAGTGCTAGTGAGTTTGTTAAACAGTTCTGTTCTTCGGACCCTTTCGCCTTACCGTTCTTGCAGTAAAGCGCTAATGCAGTAACTAGCTTCCGCAGTCACGCAAAACCTTTGTTAAACATCTTCAAGTTTTCGGACTCACTCGCCTTTCCGTTCCTTCACCTTTCTCGACCTGGGAATAGAGTTAACTGCAAACCCATTGTCAAAGTGTGTGCCGCTGTGCCGTCCCACTTGGGTGCACAGTGTGATCCTCCGCAAGGAGGCGCCGTTCTCACTCCGGACTACCGTGTAACTGACTCAACGGTTTTCTGCATGCGTTGGATTATCTTAACCGACTTTCGTTTCACTACTGTATTCTCAAAATCAAAGCCGCCGGGCTTCACGGAAACTCGAAGCCGCCGGGCATACGGAGAATCTCCAAACACGAGAATGGGGAACTATCACAGGAAGTACAACAGATTAGAAAGAATGCAGAGACGGCGGTGGAAGTCTTGATGCTCTGACCTGGTTGCTATTGCACCCAGAACCTCTAGTGACAGAACTCAGGCGTTGCCTCCCACAATGGTTTCCCACCATGTTTTTCACCAGATTGATTCTCATGTCCTCACACCCAGAAAAGCTGGGGTGTGTGTGTGTGTGTGTTTACATGAATTTCACGAGACCACCGTGAAGGAGGTGAAGTTAGTCCTCAGTCGCCTAGCCCGTGACAACGGCTCAGGCTTGCCGCACGGCAACGTAGTAGTGCCTGTGGCTGGAGTTAGCGCCGGGGTTGGATGAGGTATACGAATTGAAACAACATTTCCATTACCCTTCCAGTTTCCCCTTGTCACGAGGTTTGTTTATTGCATTAGGCCATCCTCGGTACTGGAGTGGGGGCAAAGAGTTTTTCACCGGCGTGCAAATGCCTGCTAGCTGCTATTTTGGTGGGAAGCAAAAGGAAGACGCCTGGTGGTGCCACACTTCTGTTCATCACCTCTAGTGCGCTCAAGATGTTGTGGCTTCGACCCGCATCCATCATTCACTTTGTCAACGTGTTTGTGGTTCATTCAAGTTGTCACCAATGCCTGCACGGAGGCACATACCAAAAGGTTCCAAAAGAAAGCGGTTCACCACATGGGTGATTGAGAGCCCAACATCCATGAAAACTAACGTGGTTGTTTATCAAAACTCCATTCAAATAATTCACCTGACCACCTAAAAACTACAAAACAACATAATCCATGCATCATCTCGCCGGACAGAACCCTAGTGGATGTTCGATACCTTTAGGGGCTACCCCAATCGGCCACACCACCCCAGGTAGCCTGCCACGCGTCCGCGGAACGGGTGGCGCATAGAGGTGCGGCATGGCACGTAGGAGGGTTAGATGCTGCTTTTGGATCTTTCCCAGAGGAGTACCAGGAAAACTGCAAAGATCAAAGCAGATCTGGGAATACGTGCTGTTTCGTACTGCCAAAATCTGCCAAAATAGATCATCGTCATGGGGAAAGCTGCTGGTTTTGGATTGCCTTTGGGGATGTTCCAAGGGATTGTTGCCTGAAGCACTGGTTATCCAAAGATTCCATGTCCTATCAGACAAGGATGTATTGGTTTGCCCACTTCTTCCTGCAACTCACAGTGGCCACACAAATCAATATGTCCCGCTGTGTTTTTGTTGTTCGTTTCTTGCATCACCCAGTGTTGCATGGTTTAGGGTGGCTTGAAGAACCTAGAGCGACTCACCCAAGGTACCATCTCCTTGTTGCGAGTGGTTGGAATCTGACCGTATAATGAGAAGTCTGTCGGAAGTTGTTCACCAAAAGGTTCGACCCTGATGTGGCAGCCAACCCGTTTTGTTCGTGGGTATTTGTAACCATTGGAGTTCACACAGGTAGATCTAACCCATCTTGGTTTCACTTGTTTAGCTTTTGAGTCACGTTTATATCCCCCCAAAACCGGACCATCCAGCTAAGCCGCGGACTGCCGGCATTGTGCTTGACATGTGGCTTCAGACAGGCAGATGTGAGAAGACTCTGATGTTTGACACCTGATGATCTTCTGGGACGCCTCAAAAGAGAAAAGAACTGGCCCTATAGAGGCAACATATGTTAAAAGGACTTGAGCTTGAAACGCTTGGAAAGGAAAGATGGTGGTACCAACGTGGCATCTCTGGAAGAGCGGTTCCCATTTTTTTGTTACTTGTCAGTGTTTTCAGACTTGCCCCACAGTTCTCAGAGCAAATCAGGTAGGTGGATTGTACAGGAGCATAAAGCTTATCCCTTGGCTTGGCCATACTGAACCTCATTCATTGTTGCAAGTTGACACGGGGAATGTCATACTGAAAAGATACACAGCAAGCACAAAGTGAGCTGGAAGTTCCAGAAGAAGATTGAAGAAGACAGGCAGATATGTGCCTTTTTATCCGTCATTCGTCCTCCACCATTTGCAGATTCAGATGAAATTCCTGACATCTCCAAGTCAGAACAGTAGTTGGACATCCACATGCGGCTGGAACATCAACCATTGAATCTTTGAACATCTGTGCACGGTGGAGGACTAATTCGTTTTGCACGCCGCGGGGGGATTTCTCCGGTTACGCCACACCAAGGCCTCAGGATGCAGTTTCAGATGCCACGAATAGTCCCAATCATGAGTTTTACAGTGCAGGATGCGACGTTAGATTCGATGTGTCTAAGGTCTCTAAGTCGAGGGCTGACCCTGTCCGTCTACAATCTGCGCTCTTCGGATGGGTGGATGTTGCAAGTTGGAACTTTCCTTAGTTGTTCCACTTCCTGAACTTTAAGAAATCTCAGGTTCACCTTGGCGTTGAACGCGTTTGGACCCGGTCCGTGTCCGTTTCCTCCACAGGTGGACCCCGTGTCGAGTCGGTCGCACGTCACGTCACGCGAGTCGCTGGGGGCCTACCTGGTCGGCGCCGAAGAAGTCGAGTCGAAGATGGGGCGCTGGGCCGAAGAAGATCGACCCCTGGGGGGAGAAAAAGGAATGAGTGGAGTTTTTGTAATGACCATGCACCAACCCTGAAGTGAGCAGCATGATGGCAGCATGTCGTGCAACTGCTTATGACTGCTTTCCTGCTCCTCACTTAGCGGACTGTGCGCTCTGGGGCTTGAGCGCCTGAAACCACAGGAGTGTCCCACGAGAGTGTCCCGCAACAGTGCCCCGCAAGAGTGTCCTACAAGAGTGTCCCTTAAGAGTGTCCCACAAGAGTGTCCCACAAGAGTGTCCCGCAAGAGTGTCCCAAATGAGTGTCCCACAGGAGTGTCCCTTAAGAGTTTCCTACAAGAGTGTCCCACAAGAGTGTCCCACAAGAGTATCCCACAAGAGTGTCCCACAAGAGTGTCCCACAAGAGTGCCCTACAAGAGTGTCCCACAAGAGTGTCCT